ATGACAACACGATTTTAAAGCAGGTTACTAAAGTATAAAACTTATTTTCTTATAGGAAAAAGGGTCTGAAAAATACTTCAACTTTGGCCTTACGATATCAAACTTTATGGAGGACCTTTTACCCCATGCACTATTTAATATTGTATTTTAAAGGTATATATATGTGTCCACGTGGACACGTTACTATTTATAATTATGCAATATTTATGATGTCCACGTTGACACATATATACCTTTAAAATACACTATTAAATAGTGCAGGGTGATAAAAGGTCATTTCCAAAGTTTGGTATCGTTACAACAATTTTAATCAAAATTCAGATATATTTTATACTTTTTTCCCTTTCTTATATGAACAACACCTTTTTCATACTTTTTATATGTGATATTTGCCTATAATATCACAATAACATATATGCAAAAAAAAGAAGAAAAAAAACTTTTTTATAAATACAAATTAGTAATAAAACCTTACACTCGTGTGGGCACACATCCCTAATATGGGACCTAGTCTATTTTGTTCACATTTCTCCATCTTCATGTCCTCAAGAAATTATTTATGATAAATATAAAAAAATAAAATTAATCACATACGATATTTACACTAAATCAATAACAATATGATATTATTCTTTCATACATATAATTTTTCATTACTTAACCACTATTTAGTGATGTTTTTTCTACTTTAGTTATATAGTCGTTTTGATCAAATTTTCAAAATATATTTGTTTTTGGGAAATGTTCTTTGTTATTTCTTGAGACTTGAGAGTAAGAAATAGTAAAATACTGCTTGACTAGTCTATTTGAAAATGACTTTTATCAATATTAAAATACTGCTTCTACTATTATATACTTAAATACACTTACTTTTTTCCTTGAAAACTTGGCCAAATACATTTTTTTTTTTAAAATAATATCTTTTTGAAATAAAAAACAGTTTTAACTTTGGCCAAAACACACTATTGGTCACTTTTAAAGTCAACAATTTGGTTCAATTTAATAACTCATTATTAGTACTATATTATTCAAATGCCCTTTCACTCATATCCCACCATTGAGTCTGCAATTTTCTCCACAAAAAAAATACATACAAATATTCCGTCTCAAAATAAGTATTATTTTAATTAAAAAAATATTGTCCTAGATTAAATAACATTAGAAATTCAAGATGAAAATTAGGAGTATATTTTTTTAACTATCCTTTTATACTCCATCTTCTTAAATATAGTTTTTAATTTTTAATAAACTATATAATGTATTTATTGATATTTTTTATCAAGATAACACTAATAACCAGGCAAACAAAGAATACAATAATATAAAGACAAATATATATAACTCCAAAAAAAAAATATCATAACATCATTATGCAGTAAACTTTTCCATCATTTTGGGGGCCTTTTTGTTGAAAAACATTATCCATGATAATTCATTAACAATATTTTGTGGTACTTTGAGAGTGTACATGTATAATATCTCGAAAATTACATAGAAGATATAAATCACACTAGACAAATTAAACCCAAAGTGACGAGCTCGATTGAGAAGATGTTGACAGAGGGAGTCGATCCATATTCCCTCGCTTCCCTAATGGAGTCATCCTTATGAGCACAGTTTATTTAATACAAATAATGGATAAAATAATTTTAGACAAGTTAATATTAATAATCAAATATAAAATAGAATAATTTGTATTTTTTAATCAAAATTATTATTCGTATTCCAATAACCAAACGATGGAAGTACATACAACAATTATAATGGTTTACCCACAAGTTCAAAGGTATAGGACCAACTCTACTTTAACTTCATTGTCCTATTTGTCCATGGATGGCCTTTGCCATCAATGTGTGAAACTCTCAATTGATGGCAATTGTTGTACTAATTCATGTGGTTGTAAATAGGGAAATTTACGGATTTTATCAAATTTTAATGTGTTCAGATACATCTAGATATATGTATTTTGGAATATATGAGATTAAAATTAGATGTAATTTGTTTTAGCACACTATAAAGTGTGTATTTGGTATGATTCACATATATTTGGGATACACGACTATCTCGTTCACCCTCATTCCCATTTCGCTCGCCTTTCTCCTATTTTAATTACTTAATAGCAAAAGTACATGTATCCAGATGTGTCTTTCTTAGTATACAATAACAAATTCTTAATTAATTGTAAGATACGTAATTATTTAAAGGATATATATCTAATAATCAATCGAAACTTAAAATAGATCAGAGGAAAATTCCAAAAAAGGAAAAGAAGTAGGATAGTATGGGAGGTCATTTCTACACCTATATAGGTTCCCAATCCAGTTTTTGGTAAAAAAAAATTAAAAAGTTATATTTTATTTTTTAAATATACCTTAGAAAAATGAAAATAATAATAATTCCAATAGAGGTAAAATAAAACAAATTTTATCATAAAATAATATCATTTTATATTGATAGTCTCATTTTCGTCCTTCGACACACCTTACCTTCGACCCCACCTCGGAATTATTGATTAATATTGGGATAATTAAGTTATCTCTGTCAGAGGTAAAAATAATAATCTAAAAATTAATCATCTTGAAGTAAAACAATATAAATGACCAAAATTTTCATGCGTTCCCTCAAAATCCTTTTCTATTAAATAATAAAGGGGAGGGAGCATTTTTGTAAATAAAAAATATATATTTAGAAATTGTGCAATGCGTGTATTATGTAATTATTATTGTACATGCATTTTACTTGGAAAAAAATTAAAATTTTATGAGTAAAAGTGAAATTTCTCCTAAAATTGATGTGAACCAGTCTTTAGACCTTGAATTTTTTTCTTTTAAGGATAGATAGATTTTCAAAATTGGATCCAAATTCTTTAACTAAACACTACTTTAATTACCTTTTAAATTATCTCATTTTTAAATCTTGAGTTTAAATATATATATCGAAAGAGTTTTATGACGCCATAACTTTATATCATATCAACATGAAATATATATAGTTCATACACATAATTATCACTTAATTAAAATGGTTAAGTGTATATATATTTACACTTTAACTTAGAGTAACTATCATAGAATTATATTTCTTGTTTAAAAGTAAATTTGAAGTAGTAACGTTTGTTAGGAAATTGTTTCCTTTCACAAAACTTTTTTGTGAAAAAAAGTATTCCCAACAAACACTTTTCAGAAAGTTGGGCAAAAGTTTGTTAAAAGTCCAGACACAAGCCAATATGCGAGAGCAAGGACGATTGAAGACGGCTATTAAAAACGACGATAAATATTTTTTCATTCTTAATAAAAAAGAAAAAGTAAGTTCGAGTCTTAGTAATAGAATCACTTTTTGATAGAAAATATTTTACCTTTAAAGTAAGAACTTTTTCACGCAAAATTTGAATTAATCAGACTCAAAAACAAATATTGAATTCAAGATAAAAATACATATTAAAAGAAAGACGATAGAAGCAAGTCACTAGCTAACATATGTCACGTTTAAATTGCTTCGGGGACTCCCTTTAAACTTTGTAGCCTTTGTATTACTAATTTAGGTTCTCTGTTTTCTTATTTAGTGTTTGATATTCATATCGAAACGAATTGTTTTATCAAAAGTTTATGTTGGTTACCAATTTAAATTCAATAAATAATGTTGGTGCTTAGTTTAAACACATTGTGCATGATTCATGAATAATGCATATATATGACAAGGTAAGTTTAATGGATTATTTAAGGATGTGATGCAGTTGATGATGTTGTTTTTTTCTTAATCAAATGTTTTGTTGCTTTTTTCTTAATCAAATATTTCGATTTTGAGTTGTAGATATAACAAATTTCTTTGTAGGGAGTGCTACCCCTGAATGACCCTTATCCAATGTAAATTCAAATTAGTCGGACTCTAATATATATATTAGACACCGAATAAGAAATAAATAATTAAAAAAGTAAGTTTAATGAAGGGGTTAAGTTAAATTTTTTTAATCATAATTTTTTATTGTGTAAAGGAGATATATATATATACACACTTTAGATAGGAGGTTATGTGACTCACATATTAGGATAGGAGATTAGTTAATTCGTTGAACTTTGTCTCGCTTATTCCTCTTTACTATTAATTATATTATTCGCGTGGTTTCTTTGTCCTTTCAGTTTGATTATATATATATATATACTTTGATTATTGTTGTAGCTTGTTATGACGGTTGGTTAAGATGATTTGTCAGGTTGTCTGTAGTATTTTGCATTATTGTCTTAATTAATGTTATTTTCCATTATTCCACTGTTTCTTTTTGAGTCGAGGACCTATTAGATATAACCTCTACACTTAAGATAGTGATAATGTCTGCATACATCTTACTCTTTCAGATTCATTTTTGAGATAATTAATTTTAGGATAACTTATTTCTCAATTAAACAGTCCTAACTATTTAATTTGGATCATTTTTAAAAGTTATATTTTAAAATATTAATCAAAATACGAAACATGACAAATATTATGGAACGAAGAAAGAGTATATGACTTGTTCAATTTAACTTTTTATTGTTACTAATTCACTTGACAAAACAAACAAGCCCTTCCATCTCCTCTTACACTGTATTTCTCTATTTTTCCCCCTTTTTAATAATAACTTCTCTATATTGCCGGCGAAATTTGCCCGGAGATTTTGCCTGTTTTCCGATCACATCTCTCAGAGAGATTTGCTCAACAGTCTTCTTAATTAGCTCTCTCTTACTTTAAAGTTTTTTCTGTATACTTGAATTCCTCAACAACCCTTTTTACTTTTCAGTTTTTCCGGCTTTTTTTGGTATTGGTTTTGTGCTGAAATGAAAATAGCTGATTGGGTGAATTGTAAGAAATGTAGTTGAGCTGAAAAAGGGTGTTTTTTGGTGTGGGGTTTAGTTATTTTTCTGGGTTGTTTTGATTGCTGTTAATTTAAGCTAAAATATAGCTTGATTTCACTTTTCTGAGTGGAATTTGGGGAATAATTTTGTTCTTTGATGTATTTTTCATCTTTAATTTTTGAAGGGTGTTTGTGAGGGAGAATTTTCTGTCGATGGAGGCTCGTAATTTTCATGGTCCAGTTGTGTCAAATATGGAGGTTGGTGGGAAGAAGAGTAGGGAGTGGGATTCGAATGATTGGGTGTGGGATGGTGATCGATTTACTGCTGAACCGTTGAATTCTCTGCCATCAGATTGTAGGAGTAAACAGCTGTTTCCTATAGGATCAGAGATTCCAGAAACTGCTACTGGAATCTTCAATGGTTTTTCATCTGGCGCAGGTGAATTGACATTAGGAAATGATGAACGGAGGAAGGAATTGGAGAAAAGGAGGCGGACGATTGTAATTGATGGTGATGATGAGCAGAATGGTGAGGCTGGGTCTCTCAATTTGAAGCTTGGTGAACAGTTGTATCCTGTGATGGAAGGGGAAGTGGAAAAATGGGAAGGGAAGAATGGTAAAAAGACGAAAATTAGTGGGGTTTCATCGAATCGTGCTGTTTGTCAAGTGCAGGATTGTCGAGCTGATTTGAGCTGTGCTAAAGATTACCATCGACGACATAAAGTGTGTGAGGTGCATTCTAAAGCAGCAAAAGCTTTGGTTGGGAATGTTATGCAGCGTTTCTGTCAGCAGTGTAGTAGGTTAGTTTTTTAGTGGACATTTTGCATTTTCATGTGCTACTTGTTTTGTTATCTCTAGGTTATGAACCAGTTAAAATATTCTAATAAAATTAGAACCTTTGGAAACTGGATATATTATTTTTTCATATGACGAAAGATTTAGTTTGTTCCTTGTACTCGATTATCGTGTTGTAGTATTGTAGTTTCTTTTTTGTTACTATCTATGTTTCTTGTAGTTCCATTACTTCTTGTTGTAGATTATTTTTACTTGAGCTGAGGGTCTATCGGAAACAACCTCTCTACCTCTTATGTATGGGTAAGGTCTGCGCACACTCTAGAGCCCTCCCCAGACCCCACTTTAAGTGGGACTACACTGAATATGATATTTTTAAATTTTGTGTCCATCTCATCTGAAAGGTGAAACTTTTAGAGAGGAGATAAATTTGATAACATATTCCTGGAAAATTGATCATGGTTTGATTGATATGATTACTTTTATCAGGTTTCATGTTCTCGAAGAGTTTGATGAGGGGAAGCGGAGCTGTCGTAGGCGTTTAGCTGGGCATAACAAACGAAGAAGAAAAACACATCCAGAAAATGTAGCTAATGGAGCCTCCGTGACTGATGAGGGGGGTAGCCACTACTTATTAATTAGTCTGCTGAGGATACTGGCCAATGTACAGTGTAAGTCCTTATATGAATTCCATGGTTTTCCTGCGCGATATATTCATTTCGTATGACAGAAGATGTTGGGCAAATTAATTAGGTGATAACATTTACATAATAAGGTGAGTTCTTTCACTGTATGGTGATTGGCTGAAGTGCTATTCTTTATGTGGTGCAAGAGGCTGAGAAAGAAAAGAATGTATAGTTATCCTTTGCCTGGTATAACAACGACTTGGTGAATGCAACGATGTGTATTCCATAACAGCAGTTTGTCTCTGGGAATAACAGTTGTTAAATCTAACTTATATTGGGTATTGCTTTTGGTGGCAGGAGAGTTGTTTGCATAAATTATATTAAGTTTGACTGGTTGAAACATCAGCACAGGTTCTTACTACCTAGTTTAGATGTTCTGTTATATCTAAAGGCTACACATGACATAGGGCATTGAGTCATGGACTATGTTGCTCGTACTCTTCAAAAATATTGACGGGTGCATGTCAGATTCTCCAAAAGTGGTGCATTTTTGGAGTATCCGACACAAGAGCAGCAACATTTTTGGAGAGTCCTAGCAATATAGGTCAGAGATTAACAGCTGAATAATTGATGGCCATTAAAATAAATCTTGGTGGAAATTATCTATTGATACTTCTCTACTAGAACTTTAGCGACCAATACGTTTGGACTAGAACAACTGTTTTGGCATGTTTTATTCTCCAACAAGCTTTTGGGTTCCAGTGTTCCACAAGAATCATGATAATGTATAGGCACATAGATACTTATTTAGAGATTTTGCTTTAAATGAGTTGGAGGAGTTACTTTCTGGCTTCCTCTCATTGTGAAATGCAGTCAATAGCTCGGAGCAAACTAAAGACCAGGATCTATTGTCACATCTGCTGAGAAACTTAGCTAGTCTGGCTGGTGCAGCTAATGAGAGGAACACATCGAGCTTGTTGCCTGCACCTTTAGATCTGCAAAACACAGGGACATCTATGGAGGCTCCAAAAGAGGTCTGCACTAGATCCAAAAATTGATAAAACCCTTTCTCCCTTCAGCTTTTGATTGGATTAATTTGCAGGACTCTCTTAGGCCTAATGGGAATTGTTTGACTATACCTGCATCAGAAGTGACAGAGAAGAGAATGGACACGGGCACGAGTGATGCTGAACGTGGAATTTCACAAAATCCTCGTGCTTCACAGCCTGAGACTATGTGTTGTAGAAAAGAGAGCTTACCTATCAATGCAAATGCCCCAGTCACCACATCTGCACCGTTGAAGCTAAATATTGATTTGAATAACATCTATGATGATTCTCAAGGTGGCATTCAAAAGTTGCAGAATTTTGGTGTCTTTGCAAACCCAGGGGCTGGATCTTCTGGCCGTCCTCTATGGATAAGTCATGACCCTCACAAGTCAAACTCCACAAGGACAAGTTGGAACTCAGGATCCACCTCATCCCTTTCACCATCTAGTTCAAGTGGAGAGGCTCAGGTATGTGTTTTTTGTTTTCTATCGGTGTTTACCATTGTACTTATATGCAATTTGTTTAGCTAACAGACATGTTTATTTGGAGTGCTGATCTTTAGCATCTAATTTGTTCGGGTAGTAGTTCTCAGAATTTTCTCCTGTTTTCTCTCCTTTCTTTATGAAGTACATTTGCAGCTGTAACATCCACATTATTGTTTTATTTGTCTTTTGCATGTTTTTTTTTGGGTAGGAGGAATGAATTGTTGTCTTAATGTACTTAGAGCAAGTTTTTTAGGACTGAGTTGTTAACAGAAGGGCCTATGGTGCTATGTCTGAAATTTCTGAGTATCACAATACTACAAACAAAATTAATCCAAGGAGGACGTTCTAACATGGTCCAGACTTGAGGGCTGTCACACCCCAAAGTAGAAGGGAGGTACTGACACCTGATACCTTAATCTTAGCATCAACCGACTTACCACATTCTATGCATGGACAGAATCATAACAATATGAACACATTTCACACATCTTGGAACCAATAGCCTAAATGTTTGAAATATCTTAGAACACCATAAATTCAAAAATAGTCATTCATACATACGATCTGAAACTTAAAAAAGATCAAAACATAAGTTGAACCCACTACGTCTATGGAGCTTCTATGACATCACGTATGAAAGAATGCTCCGGACACCACCTCTCCCAAAGAGATGATAAAAGACTAGCCACCACGATCATGAAGTGGGCCTCGTCCAAACACTTACATGAACTGAACAACCACCATATGTACATCATGGTGTTCAATCTATGCCTGACCAGCTAAGCCGTATGGTTTCTATGTGGGAGTTTGCTAGCAATATAAATGACCATTAGACTACATTACTACACCAGTCAATGTAGTTTCTAGGCATTGAATTTGTAAGTTCTAATACCCTGTTTGAATCTTTGGCCCCTTGCATAGTTTTCCTATTTTTCTTGTTCCGTAGGTTTCCATCAACTCCGAATCACTTTAGACTTCATACAAATAATCTGCCAATCGTATTTCCATCATTTCAATACATTGAACCATTTATGTAACACACAATTTAAGCACAACTTGAGCTTAAATGCATTCTAAAATTTCTGGAGCGCTACATTCCATCATATATTTGTACAAAAGGTGGACAACATGTTATAGAATGATAAGTGTTTGTTTTAGATTCATTTCTTTTTGTTTTGACAGAAAGGTTAGTTTTATTGATGAACCAGTAGTAAGATGGTGCTGCAATGTTACATCCAAAAACCAAAAACCAAAAAATCCCTTCCAATTATGCACTCCAATTTGCTTTCCAGAGAAGCCCAAGACATAAATAAGACCAGTTTTGATGATATATCTTGAAATTGAAAACCATCACTCTAGTAGGCTTCTGTCATGGTTGTTCTCAACTATGCATTAATTTCCAGTAAGTAAAGTAGCCTAATAATACTTTCAGCGATCAGCACTTGCACTTCTCCTTCAAAATTGGCTGCCTGTAATCAATCCTAACCAGGATTCAGCACTTCCACAAAATATGGTAAGATTGATCCTAACCACGATTCAGTACTTCCACGAAATATGGTAAGATTGATCCTAACCAGGATTCAGTACTTCCACGAAATATGGTAAGATTATGATGTTGACTTATCCAATCTGCCCTGCTGTATAGACACATTCCATAAGTTTCTCCAATGTTGATCAAAATTAATTTGTATTTGCCCACCACTACGATGTTCCATAAGTATGCTCTTCCGAGCTCTATCAGCCGTCTGTCATACAGGCTGCTGAATTTACTTGTGAGATATGCAATTGGACCGTTCCTTTGTCACGTGAACTGCTGGCTGCGAGATATGTGATTTGCAGTAAAATCCATTCTCTTAGAGAAATATTTGGTTTGATTGTATTTTTGGTAAAACAAAAAAATATTGTTGATGTTTGGTAAATAAGTTTTTCGAGTTTGAATCAATGTGTTCTTATCATTAGATTGCTCTAGGCTGTTGGTGCCTGTAGGGCTAGTCAGATACCGAGAAGAAATGTTCAGTGAGTTTGATTGCTAACAATTGATGCATCAATGTATAAATATGGTTTGTCTCTTAAATACAAGATTGTGACTAATTTTCAGAGTCGAACGGATCGTATTGTCTTTAAACTTTTTGGGAAAGATCCTGGTGAAATTCCCACAGGCTTGCGGAAGCAGGTATTTTGGTTCTCTTGCTATAATATGCTTCTATGGAAGCGTTCTTGTATTTCTTTCATCTCAATATGAAACCCAACCTTCTCTATTCCTGGACAATCTGCAGGTTCTTGATTGGCTATCACACAGTCCTACAGATATTGAAAGCTATATTAGACCTGGTTGTATTATACTAACAATATATCTTCGGATGGATAAACCCATATGGGAGGAGGTAACTTTTTTTTTCCTCAGAAATCTATCACTTCATTTTCTGAGAGGAACAATGGATCAACAAAAGTTCTATCTGGGTTTGTTAATTCAAAATAAAGGGAAAGGAAAGAGAAATCATGTTGGCCAGAGTGGACATTAAATTTCATGATACTTGAAATGATCGTATTACTTTAGTTATCCCTTAAAGTTGTGTTTTCTATAAGCTATTCGTAGTACCTTTTAATGAAATGAAACTAGCAAATTAAATTTACTCAGGCCACACATCTGCTCTTTCCTTTTCCTTTTCTGTTTCCTTATGTTCCGTTAAGGTTTTAATCTAACAAGTTTTGCACCTAATTGTTTTCCCTTTGCAGCTTTATTGTGATCTTAACTCTAGTTTGAAGAAACTTCTTAATGCATCCGCTGGTTCATTTTGGCGAACTGGATGGGTTTATTCTAGGGTGAAGGATCGAGTGGCATTTTTGTTTAATGGTATATTTGCATCTGTCATTGTATCCTTTCTTGATCCATGTTCTCTCCTGTCATGTCTTTTTATCCACAGTTACGCCTCTGATATGAACATCAAGTCTTTGTTTCTGTACTACAGGGCAGGTTGTTCTGGACACTCCCTTGCCAAGCCATAGAAACTGTGGGATATCAATCATCAAACCTATAGCAGTTTGTGCCTCTGAAAGAGTTCAATTTTTGGTCAAAGGCTTTAACCTATCTCGTCCCACTACAAGGTACCTTTGATATATGCTTGATCCTAAAGGCATTTTACTTTTTCTATTGATCTCTGCTTAGCTGGTTGGAGTATGTTGAGCTAGTTAATTGATTCTTGGTTTGTCTCCACCTTCCGTTTAGGTTACTATGTGCCATGGAAGGGAAATATCTCGTTCAGGGGAATTGTATTGATATGGTGGTAGGAGCTGATTCTTGTATGGACCATAATGAGATCCAGTCCCTTAGTTTTCCTTGTACAGTGCCAAATGCTACTGGAAGAGGGTTCATTGAGGTGATTTTTTTTCTCCTTAATGCTTATTCTTTTCCCTATCCCGGAGCAATCCTGTTCGGATTATTGTGAATGGAATTTGATGCTCGTTGGCTTGCTGATGACTCTCAGTTTTATGTTATAAGTAAATTCATTGAAGATTCAAGGAGAAGGATCAACTTTTGGTCTCTATGTGCACAGTAAACCTAGGCTTGGGTTGATAAAATATAAATGTATAAACCTATCAGGAAAAAAGAAAAAGGAAAATCTATTTGTTTTTACCTCATTGGAACATGCAAACTATTATATACTCCATTTTTGGTTGGACCCCCTGTTACCACCATGTGTTGCTTTTCATTAGATCACAGATTCTGATTCATACTTCAGGTATGTAGTTACCTGATAAAGTAGATTGTCTGAGTAAATCCTTATATCTCAATCTCCTTTTTCTGCATAAAATTAACTATATTGGATACACTTTATTCTATTTCTGAAATGTAGGTTCATTATCTTTGACAGGTTGAGGACCATGGTCTTAGCAGCAACTTCTTCCCATTTATAGTTGCAGAGAAAGAAGTTTGTTCTGAGATTCGTACATTGGAGAGCATTATTGAGGATGCTAAAATAGCCGATGGTTTTCTGCGAGGAACTGAAGAATTTCAAGCCAGGGACCAAGCTCTGGACTTTTTACATGAACTGGGTTGGCTGCTTCATAGAAGCCATTTGAAATTTAGAGTGGGTTCTGGTGCCAGCTTGAATCTTTTCCCATTTCAGAGATTCCATCGGCTTATAGATTTCTCCATTGACCATGACTGGTGTGCTGTAGTAAAGAAACTGTTGGATGTCTTCTTCAATGGCGTTGTGGATGTAGGAATACAGTCATCACTTGACGTTCCATTGCAGGAGGTTGGCATCCTTCATCGAGCTGTGAGGAGAAAGTGCAGATCTATGGTAGATGTCCTCTTGAAATATCGTAATCATGGAGCTTTTGACAAATCAGGACTACAAAAGCAAGAAGATGATCGTGGCTATTTATTTAGACCTGATGCAGTGGGTCCTGGGGGTTTGACTCCACTTCATGTTCTTGCTAGTCTTGCTGGCTATGAGAATATTTTGGATGCTTTAATTGATGATCCAGGACAGGTATATTTTCCTTTTTCTATTATGTGCATTTGGGTCTTTTGCAATGAAAATAGACAGTCCCCTCAATCCACAGAAAGGTGTGGTTTTGTGTGTGTGTGGGACTGGAGCACGATAAGATCAGCAATAGCCATCAGTCTTTTCCTTGTTATCAGGATTGATATATTAGCACTCTAATCCAGGGTGGCTCTAGAAATCTGAGTATTTAAGTATTGGCAGCCCCTCCCTGACAATATGTACTTTGGTTATTGTTGTCAATTTTCTGCTGAATGCCTCTCAAAGTGAGTCTTTCCATTATATAGAGAAAATAAAGATTACACATCCCTAAAGATCCGCCATTCCTATCCTTAAAGATCAGCTATTCTATCTCTACAAATCTGCCATTGAATCCCTCTAAATCTGTCTTTTTGCCATTGAATCCCTCTAAATCTGTCTTGTTATCCCTCCAAATCAGCAATTCTGTCACAATATTTATTCATATGATTCTACAACAAATGTATATGATCATGCTAATTTATATCACTATATAATTACATTAATATATACAATCATTTAGTTGTCTATCATGCTAACATCCCCCCTCAAATTGATGCTGGTGGATCAAGAAGCATCAATTTGCCTACTAGAAACTGATGGCGTTGTCGTGCCATCTATTTTGTAAACGCATCAGCTATTTGAAGATCACTGGACACATGTGGAAGAGTAATGACTCCTTTATCTACAACTTCTCGTATATAATGACAAGCCACTTCGATGTGTTTGGTCCTCTCATGAAAAACTGGATTAATAGCAATCTGAATAGCACTTGTATTGTCAGCGTGGAGAGGAGTAGGATGAGATTGAGGAAATCCAATCTCAGCAAGTAATCCACGAAGCCATACAACCTCGGAGCAAGCAGTAGACATGGATCGATATTCAGCCTCTGTTGAAGATTTTGACACACGGTCTTGCTTTTTACTCTTCCAAGATATCAATGACTCTCCAAGAAACATGCACCAACCAGAGACTGAACGACGAGTATCAGGACATCCTGCCCAATCAGAACACTAAAAGCATTAAGACGAATAGGAGAACCACTTGGAAAGAACAATCCACGAGTAGATGTTCCTAGAAGATACCGAATGATGCGACGAACAGCCACCAAGTGGAGATGACGGGGAGCTTGCATAAATTGACTAACTTGTTGAACTGCAAAAGAGATATCAGGCCGAGTAATAGTAAGGTAATTTAGACTCCCAACTAATTGTCGAAATGTAGTTGGATCAGGAAGAAGATCGCCTTCCTCACGACAATACTTCACATTCAATTCCAATGGAGTATCTACGGAGGATGAATCTTGAAGACCAGCCAAAGAAATCAAATCTTGAGTATATTTGTGCTGGTTTAGAAACATACCTGAAGCAACATTATGAACTTCCAAACCCAAAAAATAAGTAAGAGTACCAAGATCTTTCATATGAAAGGAATCTTTCAGTTGTTGTTGGAGGCTAGTGATTAGTGAAGAATCAGTTCCTGTGATAATAATGTCATCTACATACACCAAAAGAAGAACACAACCTGTAGATGTTTTCCTAAGAAACAAAGATGAGCCATATTTGCTCTGCTCAAAAGAAAATTGTAGCAAAGTAGATCGAAACTTATCAAACCAAGCTCTTGGAGCTTGTTTTAATCCATACAAAGACCGCTTCAACTTGCATACATCTGATGCAGCCGATGAGAACAAACCAGGTGGAGGTTTCATATAAATATCTTCTTTAAGATCACCATGGAGAAAAGCATTTTTGACATCTATTTGATAAAGAGACCAGTTTTGTGAAGCAGCAATGGCAATAATAGTTCGCACCGTAGTCATTTTGGCTACGGGTGCAAAAGTCTCCTCTTAGTCCACCCCATACTCTTGTCTGTTACCAAGAACAACCAATCGAGCTTTGTACCGATCAAGAGCTCCATCAGAATGAAGTTTGATTGAATAAACCCATTTACATCCAATAGGGCGGACATTTGAAGGACATGAAACAATGCCCCATGTGTCATTTTCTTTAAGAGCCAAAAGTTCTTCATCCATTGCTTTATGCCAACATTCATGCTTGGAAGCTTGTGAGTAACAAGATGGAACAAATATGTTGGATAAAGTAGAGAAAAAGCCATACCAATTGGGAGTACGAGATACTCTGGTAGATCGCCGAGTAGGCTCAAGAGGACCAGATCTTGAAGAATTCTCAGATTCTAGTTGTGGTACAGTTTCAGGTGGCAAATCGGTGTCGGGATAGGATAAAGTTGGTCGACGTCGTTCATACACAAATCCAGGTTTGAACCTCTTAAAAGAAGATGATAAATCCTCAAAAGTAGGAAGAAGAGGAGAAACACAAGATGGATCTACAATCGTAGGAAAGAAATACTGATTCTCGAAGAAAACAACATTTCTAGAAATACGAAATTTGTGAGAACATGGATCATAGCAAGTATAACCTTTTTGTGAAGTACTATAACCCATAAAAGCACATTTAGTAGAATGTACAGAAAGTTTATTGCGCTGCGAAGGAGGCAAATGCACAAAACAAACACAACCAAATGTATGAAAATCACTATAGTTAGGATTTTGGTGATAAAGACGAAAATATGGAGACTCAAGATTTAGCACTTTAGATGGCAATCTATTAATTAAATAGACAACAGTAGACAAAGCTTCCACCCAATATTTAGATGGTACAGAGGACTCAATCAATAAAGTATGAGTGACATCTAAAAGATGGCGATTTTTTCGTTCAGCAACTCCATTTTGTTGTGGTGTATATGGGCAAGAGTGTTGTGAGACAATTCCTTTATCAAGCAAGAATTTTTTGAATTCATAAGACATATATTCTCCACTAGAATCAGATCTTAATAATTTGATGCATGTAGAAAATTGAGTCTCAATGTAAGCCAAAAATGTCTTAAACATGGAAAATACCTCAGATTTGGATCGAAGAAAATACACCCATGTAAACCGACTATAATCATCTATGAATGTCACAAAGTATTTGAAATGAGCATGAGAAATAATTGGTGAAATTCCCCAAACATCACTATGAATGACATCAAAACACTTAGTAGCATGACTACCCAAAATTAGGAAAAGGAAGAGTTTTACTTTTGCCTAATTTACAAGTAGAACAATCAATGGAAGCAACTGAAAATTGATTTTTATTTTCCAACAAACCAGAATTTGATAAATGGGACAACACAACAAAATTTGGATGTCCTAGACGCTTATGCCAAATCTCAGTCTTACTAGCAGTAGAAGTACAAGCAAAAGATAGAACAGGAGGAATGGAAAAGTGTATAGGAAACAATCGTCCAACTTTAGGCCCTTTCGCGATTATCGTCCCCGACACCTGATCCTGCACAATACAACCATTACGAGAAAAATTCACATCACAATTGTTATCTACCAATTGTCCAACTGAAATAAGACTAGTTGAGAGGTTTGGTGAAACAAAAACATTCTTGAAAGTTGGAGTAATGTCCCCAACCTTGGTAATGGGTAAATTACTACCATTGGCAATCTGTATTTGTGATGGACCTTGATACTTACGAACATTTTTTAGGATGCTCGTTGAGTTGGTCATATGATTGGAAGCACCTGAATCAACAATCCAAAGATTAGATGTAACTTCATTACCTTGTAATCCCAATGCTGAAAAGGCTGACGCGATCATTTGTTGTACCATTTCAGGAGTAAGAACTTGTCCTGAAGATGAGATATCATTAGTGGAACCATTTATCCCAGCTTGAAAAGCATTGATCCTACGATTTTGAGGGCGCGTGGGACACTCTTTGATAATGTGTCCTTGTTGTTTACAATAATTACAGAACTTCTTGCTACAATTGCTAGCAATATGACCATATTCCTTGCAACTGTAGCATTGAGTTCTACTCATATCCCTGCCCTTTCCTTTACCTTGAGCAGCAAATGCAACAGTGACGTCATTTTCTTTCTTGAAAGCATTTTGTGTGACAAGACGTTGCTCTTCACGAAGTAATTCCCTAAAGCAAACATCCAAAGAGGGAGACGGGTCATGATTCATCAAGTTAGAGCGAACACTCTCAAAGTTGGAGCGTAATTTCATCAAAAATTGGTGTCACTTGCTTTGCTCATGAACTGCCTGAATCACTAATAGAGATTCAGTAGGTATTTTGGCATAGACAATATCTGTAAATTTAGCCCATAAGTTCTGAAATCCAGAAAAATAATCTTGGACAGAAAGACCTCCTTGAGAGTAATTAGCAATTTCATACTCTAACTGAAAGCGTCTTGCGCTATTATCTTGGTTGTAAACCTTTTGTAAGTAATCCCACATGGCCTTAGCTGTTAGCTGTCTTGTACTGCCTGAGATTAAGAACAATAAGAGGGTCAATTGACCCTAGAATCCATGTCATCACCCGAGCATCTTTAATCTTCCATTCACCTAGCTTTGTTGCATCAGTAGGAGTAGGATCACTTCCATCTATATGGCCCCATAGTTCTTTGCCGGTGACAAACAACTGAAACTGAAACTCCCAAGAAGAATAATTTTTCCCAGTAAAACGAACACCGAAGGATTCAAAGTGATGTGAATTCATGCTTTTGAATAGCTATGAAAACTACAAAGACTCAAGAAAGCAACTAGAATGACCAAGAAAAAATTCCCAGGTGGTAGGACTGATTGCCGATGAACAGTCAACCAAAAACCAAGATTTTCAAATTTTTTTTAAAAGGAACCACAAATGACTCTATGAAAAAAGACAGCCAAGAGAAGGCTCTAATACCATGTCAATTTTCTGCTGAATGCCTCTCAAAGTGAGAGTCTTTCCATTATATAGAGAAAATAAAGATTACACATCCCTAAAGATCTGCCATTCCTATCCCTAAAGATCAGCTATTCTATCTCTACAAATCTGCCATTGAATCCCTCTAAATCTGTCTTGTTATCCCTCCAAATCAGCTATTCTATCACAATATTTATTCATATGATTCTACAACAAATGTATATGATCATGCTAATTTATATCACTATATAATTACATTAATATATACAATCATTTAGTTGTCTATCATGCTAACAACTGTAACGGGACTTGACCACCTGAACCAAGATACCTCTGCGAAATTCACTTCTCGATGGACCTTTTGATATGTTCCAACCTCTAAGAAGAAGTATGCATAGCTTTTTGTGCTCTTCACTTGAGCTAATTAGGATGTATGATGTGACCTAATTGGGTTTATCATCATTGCCTTAACAATTGAGGAGTAAAAACACTCATGCAGTTAGGGGTAATTTGGTTGGAGGTATTACGAGAACTAGTACAACTATGAATAATACGCATTAAGTAATACAATCATCTATGTATTATTTTATACGAGATTAGAATGTGGAGTAAGAATGCGCTTGTTCGCAATACGGAGACAAAAATACCCTTAAATTGTGGAGGACTCCTAACCAGGGGCGGACCCACGTGGGTTCCAAGGGGGTCACCCGAACCCCCTCGACAAAAAAATACATTGTATATACAAGGTAAATTTTGTGTATTTATGTGGATATATATATTTTGAACCCCCCTAAAGACAAAGAGAAACTGATAGCTCAGTGGCAGGTCCCCTTGAAATTAAGCTTCATGTCGCGCGTTCGAATCCTTGTGTTAGTGTTTTATTTTTTTTCTCTCTTAGTTTCAGTTTTTTTTTTTTTAAATTTTCAGTTCTGTTTTTCACTTTTTTTATTTTTAGTTTTTATTTTATTTTATAAACATGCTAAAAGTGTGGTTTTAAACCCAAAAAAAATCAAGGGTCTGCCACTAAAACTATATACTACTACTTCCTTGAAATTTTGTTTTGTTGGCTTATTTACACGTTTATACTTTTATTTTTCGAACTCCCTAACGAAAATCCTGGGTCCGCCATTGCTTCTAACTCTGTAAATTGTGCTTGCTCCAACTTAGTGCTAGACTATTTTTCCTTTATCAATATGATCACTATTTACCTGTTTAAAGAAAACAAAGATGCCTTTAGAGTAGATAATCCTTACAAAGTATTCCAGATATTATTACTCATCATATTACAATCCCTACATTATTATTCACTGTGTAATTATCCATTTATTATTATAATACCATACAAACAACTCCTACATTATAATTTCCGCATAACTAGCATGTAAACCAAATGATCCCCTATTAGTTCATAAATACACATCCTTGCTTTTCCTGAATAAGGGACTTCAACTGTTTTCTCTTTTCTAAACTATGACTTCTCTTTGCAGTTTAGAGTATTTTTCTGCAACCTGCTCTTTCTTAGGCTTTAGTTTTTGAGTAAATGTCTCTGTAACTTGCTTCAAGGTTATGGTCATGAGTGTTCTGTTGAAATGTGTGACCATCTCATTAAAAGCTTAAACCATTAGAGAGAGCACACTTTTATTATTTAATTGTATTCTCAACACATCTCACGCGCGGCCTTGATTCTTTTTCATGAGCCAAGCATGTGGAAATTCTTTTAATAATGGGTGGTGGTAAGATTCTAAACACATCCCCTCACGTGCGGCCGCCAAGCACGTAGAAATTCTTTTTGATACCATGTTGAAGTGTGTGATGCACTGTTGTGAAAGGCGATCACCTCGTTGCCAATGGCGAGAGGCGAGGCGACCCTTCATCGCCTTTTAACTTTGTGGCGAGGCGATCTTCCAAAGGCGACAAAAGGCGACGCCATGGCGACAAAAGGCGAGAGGTGAGAGGCAAGAAAAGCGTCGCCTTTTGTATTTTCTTTAAAAAAGGCGACCAATTTTGGGTTTTAAAAGTTAAAAGGTAATTTTAGGGTTTACGACTAGACTCCTCCGGTGACCAACCAAACTTTTCCGGCTACTCCAAAGTCCAATTCTACCTCTGTTTTGACTTTTGTTTTGTTTTTTTTCTCATTGAAGTTCTAGACTTTTAGTATGTACGGTCTATTTTCAATTTTTTTCAGTTTCTGAATTAAAATATTTGTTAATATGTTATTGCTATTGAGATTTTGATTATTTACATATGCAATTAAATATTTTAATTTTTTGGTAAATTGGTGCCGCAATTCAAAAAGGCGCTCGCCTTTTATCGCCTTTCGCCATTTAAAACACTGGTGTGACCATTTCATCTAAAAGCTTAAGCTATTAGAGAGAGCACACTTTTATAATTTTAATGTATTCTCAACATGTTCAATTGCTGAATAAGAGGCACTCTGGTATATTCATATACACAAGGATGCTTGTGTTGTAGATCTTTCCTTGTTTTATTTTCTGGTTCCATTGTTTGGAAAGAAATGAGTTAGGCAGGTGTTTGAAGGAGCTCATGAATGATAATTGTTTTCTTCAGGTGGGAATTGAAGCTTGGAAAAGTGCCCGTGACAGTACCGGACTGACACCCAATGATTATGCATGCCTGCGAGGCCATTACTCATACGTCCATATGGTCCAGAAAAAAATCAATCAGAAACCAGGTGACGGACATGTTGTTCTTGATATCCCTGTTTCGTTGTTGGATAGCAATCTCAAGCAGAAACTATCAGATGGTCATAGGTCGGTAAAAGTAACTAGCTTTCAAACTGAGAAGTCTTTAGGGAAACCAATTCACCGACAATGCAAACAATGCAAACAGAAATTATCTTATGGAAACTCAGGAACATCACTTGTATACAAACCGGCAATGCTTTCAATGGTTGCAATTGCTGCTATCTGTGTTTGTGTAGCTTTGCTATTCAAAAGTTCACCGGAGGTTCTTTATTCGTTCAGACCCTTCAGATGGGAGCTGCTGAAGTATGGCTCCATCTAAATAAGGTATAGCCTTATGTTTTAAGAAGATAATATAGGAAATGCCATGGCTTGTTTTTTCTTCTGAATTAATATGCCACGATATAATTGGGAGAGCTCCAACTCTGTATATTTATTTTGACTAATTCATCATAATATTATACATAAGAAGCTTTAACTGCAAATAGGAAATTTATTCTTTTTATAAGTTGGTAGCACTACTTGAACAGGACTGGCCACTGGGTTTGTAGTCGTAGACGCCTCAGATCTGACCCCGAATATGTTGTGTAAGATGAGTAAATTGCTTTGTATTTTAACTATATGGACTGCTAATTGTCTGCATCTATGGTTTGAGCACACATTTTTCTTGCTATATTGATCTTCCTTAGCTAGTTAGCTTCCACTTAGGTAAAATCTGGACAAGTTATTACATTTTTCATCAACATTGTTTCTTTTTAGCTGTTCTTTATTTGTCTTGTATAGTTTTTTAGGAGTCCGGATCCTAAAGGGCAAAAAAAATTGACAAAAATTCCAAAAGGGCACATTTAGCTTTGACGCTATTAACAGATCAAAATCGCTGCCCTAGCAGCGATTTTGTCCAATTTTTATTTTATTTTTTTCCGAAAATCGCTGCCTGTGCAGCGCTTTTGCGGAATTTTTTTTTATAAATGGCTGCGATTTTCGTTATTTTTTTTAAAATTTTCAAAATCGCTGCTGTTGCAGCGTTATTCCTTTTTTAAAAAAGAAATCCCTGCCTTGGCAGCTTTTTGGTGGAAAAACTTTTTTTTTGTGATTTTTTTTTTCTGAAATTTCTGCCAATAGTCAATATCAAAATGACTAAATTTTTCTTTTTTATAGAAAACGCTGCCTTAGCAGCGATTTTGGTGAAAATTCTTTCTAAAAAAAAAACAAAATCGTTGCCTTGGCAGCGTTTTTGGTGGAAACTTTTTTATTAAAAAAATCTCTGCCAATTGGTGGAAATTTTTTCTTAATATTTTTTTTTATAAATATCGCTACCAATTTTTTTTTTATTAATATTTTTTGTTAAATTGGCAGTGATATTTATAAAAAAAATATTAAGAAAAGATTTCCACCAAAAAGGCAGCGTTTTCTAAAAAAAATTTTTTTTAGTCATTTTGATGTTGATTAGTTGGCAGAATTTTTTTTTTAAAAAAAATTCCACCAAAAATCTGCCATGCAGGGATTTTTTTATTTTAAAAAAAAAAAGGAATAACGCTGCAACAACAACAATTTTGAAAAAAAAAACAAAAACAAAAATTGCTGCCAAATTTTTTTTCGCAAAAACGCTGCACGGGCAGCGATTTTCTGAAAAAAAATAAAATTGGACAAAATCGCTGCCTCTGTTAACCGTGTCAAAGCAAAATTACTGCATCAGTAGCGATTTTGCCCTTTTGGTTAGAAAAAAATTTGATGTGCCCTTTTGAAATTTTTGTCAAATATTTTACCCTTTAGGCTCCGAACTCAGTTTTTTAGTATAATTGTCAAACTTATGATTTCCTATTTGTACCTACTTCAGCTACTACTTGTTTGAAAATCTTTATCAAACACATTGGAAGGAATATCTATTCAAAATGTCACTTGAAAGTTCTAGTATTGCTAGTGTTTCATGATATAAAAGATTAAGTTGCGCGGATTTCTCACTTTTGATGCGCAGTTGTGTTGGATTAACATACTATTTTAGAGAATTTGATATGCATCCATTGACATTTTTGAAAAGTCTAAGCAATATCGATGAAAGGTAAATTCAAGTGATTTAAACTAAAATTGTTTGCCCTCTCCTCGTACTAAGAAGCAAGTGCAAAACACGATAGTGTAGCGTGTAAAAGAAACTCCTTTATATATTTGGGCTGCTACAAATCGAATCACCAAATGGTGAGTTAATGCGAAAGCAGGCCAAGAATAATATTTTTCATCTCCAATAGATCTTTATCAACATACTATATTTTTAAAAAAAAAAATTATAAATGGTTTTACTGGTTTCTAATAATTCAGTTTTTTTTTATATATATATAAACTAAAAATCAAACTTAATGCATTCTATTCTATTTCCAATATTTCAAGAGCATTTTTTTTTTCCTATTTTCCTTCTTTTTTTTCCAGTGGACTTGTAAATTAAGAAGCCTCAAATCACTCCCTCCGTTTAATATTTTTAATTATCACTTTTAATATTTTAAAGAAAAATACTTATCGTTTTCTATTTTATTCTCACCATTAATTATTCATTATTTAAGAACTAAAGTATACATCAACTAGTATAATTATCATGATAAAATACTTATTTTAATATTATTTCTAAAATGATTTATAAAATTCAATATGAACAATTAAAACTAAAGAGAATATTGAAAATACCCCTAAATTATTAATTTCATCCCTAAATATAACAGTCTTAAAAACACTCCTTTCTCACTAACTAAACTTACATACACATATGATTTGCTTTATATGAGTAAAGTATATCGTTAAATTCTCATCTAGTTTAAAAGTGTTTTTAACATTTTTCACGACTTTTTATTAAGAATCACATGCTTTTACAAGAGTTTGAAACCACTTGTTATAGTATATAATAGATGTATGTAAATTTAGTTAGTCAAGTAAAGATATATTTAAAAATTATTAATAGTTTGAAAATGAAATTAATAATTTATGCCAAATTTAAAATATTTTTAATACTATACTATACCTCAATTAATATAAGAAATACTACTATTTATTTAACTCTTGGTGTCGAATCGAAGAAATTTCCATGGCGGCTCGGCAAATTCAGAAGCGAATTCTGAGTCTTCTCTCTACTAAAACCTTCATCTCTCAAGGTATGCTTCCCCTCTAGCTTTTGCACAGAGAGTTGATAATCCCCAATTCTTAGATTTTTATTTTATTTTAGGTAAAACTCTGAGCTTTATCATTCTGTATTCAATGTTTTCGCAATCAGTATAAACCCTGAAAATAATGTTTTTTTTTTTATTATTTCATGATAGGCTAAGCTAGTGAGGTATAGAGGCAAATAGGGTCAAAGATTTGGATGTATTTAGTTGTTTGGAAGTAAATGAAGTGAGTTAGGAGGATTTCTCTACTATGATCTCATTTATAATCTTTGTGTATTGTTTGAATTTATGCTTAGTTATTATTATTATGTTATTAGAGGTTGTGGATTTGGGGAAGTGAAGGCACATGTCAATTGAATTTTGAGGGTGTTATGGTAGAAAGGAACATAATTTCCTGTTGAAATGTTTCTAAATCTAAAATTTGGAAACAATTTCTAATGAACTATTGGAGAATAACATAAGCGAAGGAAGTCGTTTGGTGGAATGTTTGGTTGCTAATTAAGCCTTCTTTCATATCAAACACGCCCGGAAATCATCTTTCTGAGTTATTTGAGAGTGTTGAGTTGGCATAACGGGATTTGAGATCTCTAGGGTTAAATTCAAAGGCATTGAGTTTCTAGATATGTCCTCGCTAAGGTGGTTCGACTATCATGAGTGAGATTCCTATGTGGCTGTTTTAGGGAAGAATGTATAAGCTCCCCGTTGTGGCTCTCGGGGCTTGATGCTCAACCAGCACTCTTATCAGTGGTACATTATGTGATGCATATGTGTGAGTTAACACATATTGAAGCAATTCAATAGTTTCATCATTGAAACTATCTGACTTGAATCTTTTTGTGTTGTAAAGAAGTCCTAACTCATTTGTTTAGATTGTCCATGTTTTAATTCTTACTAAGACTTTTAAAGGTTGACTCTGAAGTTTGAGTAGTGGTTGTTTCATTGGTTCTGTAATTTCTTTCCCAATTCCGACCTCGAATCAATATTCAAATCCCAATTTAGCCTCCCTTAAACCTAGGGCAAAATCACCCAATTTCTACCCATAATCCATGATTTAGATGCTAAAGTTAGCGTAGATTCATGTATAATCGTCTCCTCAACGTTATATGACATTCCTTAGTCGATTCTCTTTCTGTCTTTCCCGTCAATAACTTTGGTCTCCCAAAATTGTGTTGGAATGTTGAGAATCCTTAAAAACAACCACTTCATACCCAAGCCACTGGCCCTCAAGTGGCTAAGTCCGCAATTACGAGGTCCCTCTCGCAAACGCGGCTGCACCAGAAAAAATAAAATCTGCAACATGCTTAAATGTGAGATCCTGCATCAAAATCACCCAAGCTCCTCAAATCCCTAACATCCAGCAGGTCCCAAAATACTATATGGACTTAAAGGAAGTCTCAAATCATGGAATGGGATTCAAATACTCAAAATGAAGGGTGGCTTTCGGACAAACTTCTCTTATATTAGAAGCAATTGACAATTCAAATAATATGATTTGTTATCCTCAGTTGTGTGTAATTTATCCTTTTGATGTTTTTGTTAAAATATTATAATTACTCTGCGTTGTGCATCTCCACCTGTTTTTTGTGAAGAACTTGTTACTGAGATTCTACCGCGTTTCTTACTTTTTCCAGGATTACCATGGAGTTCTGTTTCTCCTGCAAGGTCATCTTTTGGCATGAACAATATATGTTCAAGACGGTGTTTTCAAACAGTTACAGAAATCACCAAGCAGGCTGTTGAAGTAGGGGAAAGTAATAAAGATTGCGATGCCAATACCGATTCTGCTGCTGCAGTTGTTTCTAGTATCATGAAAGAGACCACATACAAGTACACTGTGCAATCTAATCTTAAAACCTCCCCAAGACATGACCTGATGATGATCTTCACTTGCACAGTATGTGAAACCAGAACCATGAAAACAGTTTGTCGTGAGTCATACGAGAAAGGTGTAGTGGTGGCTAGATGTGATGGTTGTAAAAACATACACCTTATTGCTGATCGTCTCGGGTGGTTTGGTGAGCCTGGTAGCGTGGAAGACTTCCTGGCTGCTCGTGGAGAGGAAGTGAAAAAGGGCTGTGTTGATACTTTAGGTTTTACACTCGAAGATCTGGCAGGAAAGAAATCACTGGAAACTATTAGGGGAGCAGTAGAATCCAAATCTGAGATTTAGAAGTCAAATCTGGAGATTGATATTAAACAAGTTGATTTTGTAATGAACATTCAATATGCAAGTCTATAGTTGCTTTGGCAATGCTTACAGCTTTTATTTGCTTATAAATTATAAATAGACAAATTTAACACTTATTTATGAAAACCCAATAAGCTTCAACCGACCGTTAAAGTAAGGAGGATTGTCCAAGTCTTGTAAGGAGCTCATGTTCTCATACCTGTGCGATGTGGAACATTCTCATCTATAGAAGTCCTTTATAATATATTGATCATGAAATGATTAAAGTTACTGATTTATATGTATACCATATGATTAAACATGTATTTTAGAAGAGCTTTTAAGAAATATCAAATTAGGTTGGACTGTTAAATTTGATAGGGAAGGATTAGCAAGAAAATATTAATGAGGTTGTGTTTGGTAAAGAGGAATATATATTTTAAATGATCAGTTAAGGACTCTCATGAAGATGACATGCCAGCATACTAGAAGAGACAAGATTAGAAATGAAGATATTTGAGACAAGGTAAGGATGACTTTTATCGTAGATAAGATGAAAGGAGCGAAACTGAAACAATTCAACCATGTGAAGAGAATAGGTGCAGATGTCCTAGTGATGATCTCTGTCACAATGTGAGGTTGATTACACATTTCCAGCTTATCGAGGACATGACCTTAGATAGAAAATTATGGAGGTTGTGAATTAGAGTGGTAGGTTAGTAGGTAGTTAAGCGTCGTCTTATTATCCTACAAGGTAGGTTTCTCCTTTCATTCCAATAGTATTAACATCATTTTCGTAGTTTTTGGTCCCTCGATTTTTGTTGCTACCTGTAGTTTATTGCACTTTGACTATCCTTTTGTTTTGTTGTGGTTTTTGTTCTTTTTCTCTATATGCTTTAGAATGCCTTCAATATTATTGTGTTATATTCATTACTTATTTTCTCCTTTTTAATTTGCTTTGATATGTGTTATTACCGAAGATTTTTTGGACATAATCTTTGTATTTTTGAAAAATAAAAGTACGATCTACATATATTCTACCCTCTCATATTCCATCCATAAGTTTACACTGAATATATTGTTGTTATTAGAATGTAAATATTTTGATTACTTGAGGAGTAAGAAAATATATTATATCTTTATTTAAAATACTTTACCCTTGTTTATTCATTAAATATTTACTTCATATAATTGAGGTATTTGTAGTTTTCAAAAACAATCACTACTAAGGACAAAATGAGAAAATACTATTAATTTTGTCTTGAATTTTTAAAGTAATATTATCTCTGTCTATCTTTACTTGTCTAGTATCACCTTTTGAATATAAAAACTCAGTGTTCTGAAAAATACCTAATAGTTAATGATAAAGGTTAAATTAGAAACTAAGTAATAAAGTATTTTTAATTTTGAAAAAATAGATAAATAAAATTAAATATCTACTTTTAATATAATCAACAAGAATAAATAATATGATACCACTATATATCCCGTTTGGCCATGCGATATAGTATCATAATATGGAATCATGAGATGAAATTGAAGTTTTGTTTGGACATGCGATATATAATTTTTGTGTTGTATATTTTCTCATAAACATAAAAATTTCATAAGTTGTAAAACTATTAAAATAGCCCCAATTGTTTATTCAATCTTATCAAATAAATAAAAATTTATAAAATCGCATAATAAATTATTACAAAGCTATTTGTTCTCCACTTAAGTAATTGTTTCATCTAACTTTAATTTGATAAAAAAAAATTGAGCATAAATTGTAGTGTACCAGTCTTTAATATAATCCTTCCACATAGTATAGACAATTTCCTCACGTTGAACTTGCATTTCTCGATCATGTGACCGAGAAAACGAACCAACATTGTTACTTTGAGCCATTTGTTGGTCAATATCATCCGCAACTATATTTTCATGCTCATAGACAGGGGCGGACCCACGTGGTATCGAGGGGGTTCATCGGCAAAAAATAACACGGTATATATAAGGTAAAATTTCTGTATTTTTGTAGATATATAAATTTTGAACCCCTTCAATAACAAAGAGAAATTGATGGCGCAGTGACAAGTACCCCTGAAATTAAGCTGTAAGTCACCGGTTCGATTCCCAGTTTAGTTTTTTTTTTTTTTTTACTTTAAAAAATGTGCTAAAAGTTTGGTTTTAAATCCAAAAGAATTCAAGGTTTCCATTTCTAAAGGCTTATTTACACGTTTATACTTTTATTTTTCGAACCCCCCGAACGAAAATTCTGGGTCCCATATTGCTCATAGACCATAAATATTTCATCACTTTAACAATCGGTTGGTGTGAGTTAAAGCCACTATATGTTGGTGAGAATAATAAATTTTATGTCGGTGAGAATAATAAATTTTTAAAAGTAATGATGTGATTATAAATTTTATTTACATATGAAATAAATGGTTAGTAGATATAAATGTGGGGTTGTTTTAACAAAATATAAACTCGTGGATCAATTTTTGTATTAAAATATCTCAAATCATGATATGAAATTACCATATAATTCCATATCATGGTTTTTGGAGAATATGAAATCACATCTCATGATATGAAATCATGAGATGAAATCAACGTAAAATCGCATGTTCAAACGCTGATTCCATCTCACGATACCATATTGTGATATAATATCGCATGGCCAAACGCCTACTTAGAAATCACAATATATAATTTGAGGGCAGAGACATCAATGATCAATCCGTATACGTTGATCCCAAGTTAATCTCAGCCGTAGATCTCCCTCTTGTAGTATCAAGTAGTGACCCGTCTCGTGAAACGGATCAAAAAAATGCTGTAACCGAAAAAAAGTTGAAAGAACTCTTATATTTCGTCTTCATCAGCTGAATTAAGTTCTCTCAGCCTGAATTTCATCGGAGCTCCGACCAGTTTCCGCCGCAGCTAAAGGTCAGCTTCCGTTTCTCTTCTCCCCGCCGGTGAAGTCAGTGTATGCTCAATTTTCGTTTAATTTCTTCAAAATTCATGCATTTTCTACACTAAGAACATGTAGGAATTGGAGTTGTTTTTTGGGGAAAATATTGACCTCATGAGTTTACTGAGTTGTTAGTACATATGTCTGTAAAATTTCAAAATTGAAATGCAGGTAGTGTAAAATTTAGGCTTTTTGTTTTCTACTGGATTAGGTGAATTGGTTATTGATTACATTGGCACATTTAGTGCCTAATTACTGCTAATTTTAAGTGAAATTACAAGCTCTTTCTTGTTAAAATGTTTACTTGGTTGGAATTGATTTGGACTAGAATGATTAGTTCATCTAATCACTCCTAATTGAGATATGAGTATACTGGGTTGCACAAAAAGTGGTCTTGGGTATTGAAATAACGAAAAGACGAATGCACTAGCTTGATATTTTGGTATTATTCCACATAGAATAGCTTTAGGATTTTCCAGTGAAGATTTAGTTACGAATAGAGTTTAACTTGTTTTATAAATTAAAAATAGCTTTTCCAATTTGCTTCATAAATCTGGGCTGAAGTGTTTGCTTTGAATACAGCAAGGACTACACCTCAAGCATAAGTTAGTTGGGGTTCAGTGTTTGATTTGAATACAACAAGGACTACACCTTAAGCCTAAGTAAGTTGGGGTTCGCTATATGATCCTTAATGTTTGCTTTGAGCGACTCAGTAATTTTTGGCTGCAGGATTATGTGCTGATTCTCTACCCTTGTGTTTCAATTTATTGATATTACTTTTCCATGCTGCAACAGGCTCAAGGAAAGCACTGTTTTATGCGTTTGCTGTGGCACATAAGAGACAATTCTCTAGCTTTGCCCTGTCCAATTTCACATTAAAATGGTATACATATGAAAATTTTAATTATGTATGGTTCTATTATGTTGCTTCATTCTTAATCATTCTTTGTTTTACTCTAGCGTGAATATTCAGATAGTGAAAATTCTTCAAAGCCTGAAGGTGTGAGTGGAATCATGCCTAAAGTTGAAGATCCATATTGCGAGTTTCCATCTGTATACACATATACAACGCCTATGGGGGTAAGGAAACAAAAATGCATTTAGCTGAGTTTTCAACTCCTTGGTAATATGGTTTTACTGTCAGGTGGTAGCATTAATATTCATCACCTATGTAATCATCTCATTTTGTGATGCTAATGCATTTGTAGGACAATATTGCAAGCTCATCAGGCAGCAATGTGAGGTCATCTCTTCTGACCATGGGTTTTAAGGCATCACTTGTTGATAAAGCAATTGAGGAAAAGGGTATGTAGTGAGCAGTAACTTCTGTTTTAATCTATTGCAAGATTGAGTTGGCAAATTAGTTTTCTACTGAATTTTGGAGAATTAGCACCAAGTGTACCACCTTAAAAAAGGAAAAAGAAAAAGAATACCAACTCATAGATTTTCTTCAAAAGTTTGGGTTGTTATTACAGTTGGATAATTTTTGAAGGGATATTTTCTTTTCAATCTAGGTGAAGACAACATGGACTTGTTACTGGAGACTCTTTTTGCAAATTCTGTAAGTAACTATTTATAATGTATGGTACTTCTTTGATTCTGCAAATTTCTTGCCTGAAAGAATGTGTTGATGCAAAGTGCTACTCCTCTTTGTCAAGTTAGCACCCTCAAGACCTTTTAACTTCTGACAACTTAAAACTTCTTATCACAACTTGGAAAAGAATGAACGATAACATAGTCTATTAAGAAGTTAGATAAATAAGCACACCCAAAAGGTAGCGGCTGCGGGTTTCCCTTGTCATCAAGAAAAAAAAGTTAGAAAAATAAAATTACTACTTCTTGGGTCCTCAGCGTCTAGTTAGGTAGCTATTAAGTGCCCCTCTACAAATGTTTGTTTGTGGTAAAGTGAGCAGTACTTTCGCAAAATGTCAGCAATACTTTCTGAGTTTTAGGTTATCTACAATGCAATTGTTTTGCAGATCATAAACAACAAAAATTAGGTATGTTGGTCTATCTCCCTAATCAAATGTGTATCTTTCCCTTTTAGTTTGCCCCAAAATGCTGCACAATCTTTAAAAGGTCAAGACATATATACACTTAGAAGGACCTACTGTTTGTCTTTTCAATGCAATTTTTCTCAGCTCTCTACTTTAGTTTTTCAAAAACAAAGAAGATAAAAATATTTCTGTTGTACCACATGTTCACCAAGCAAATAAATGGTTCACTTTTCAGTTTTTTCTCTTAAAAACACCACCCGGAGTCAATTTTAGCTTAGCTCCTGCTATTTTCTATAGTTTCTATATTTTAAGGTTCTTTGCTTTTGGTATTGAGTTATTTTATGCATCTGTACAATTTCTTTTCATGTTTTCATAGGACATCTTCTGCTTCACATAGTTGGATGATTTTCTTGAGTTTCTTCCATCTTCCTCTATTCAAGTTTCTTGTTCTGTTAGGTTTGACATTAGAAACAAAAGGTAGTAGATTCGACATATTCAATAAAAATAAAGTTTCACTTCACTAATTGTGCTAATCATGGATGCAGAATATTGTGACACTCAGTTCTTGATTTACCTCGGAATAACCAGAATTGATTGTGGTTTGTGTGTTTAACAGGATCCTCCTAGAGCAGAATCATCAGATTCTCTGGATAGCTTGTTTTGTGATGACGAGGACATAAACAGTTCTGCCAAGTATGATGGAGATGCACATATAAAAGAGGTAAAGGAATATGGTTCTGTGGTGTGAGTTATGTGCTTTCTATAAATGTTGGTTGATACTCACTGGTTGAAATGAATAGTAGTTTGTAGTAATTTACGACATATTCGTTGTGAGCTGCTATAATATTATTATGTGTAATGTTCCATATGGTTTCTTAAGGTAGTACATTTTATAGTGTTTTTGATACTGACCAACTCCTTTATCCTTGGCTCTCCAAACTTCATACTTCAGTCAATATAATCACTTTCTGGTTACTGCATTTGAAAATGTGTATTGCATATGCATCACTATATTGAATCGATACTGTTGAACATCCCCTGTTTATAGTTGTATGAAAAAAATTGCTGTCAGTAGCATATCATTGACAAATGCCTGATAAGCTGTCATTTCCACTATATGTTTGAACTAAAGTGTTGGGTAATTAGATTGAAGGAGTCATCTGAAAGTCTGCAACACTTGTAGTTATTATTTATAATAGAGAACTAAAACTATCTAGACTTATAAGGAAAGAAGAAAGGCCCACTTGGTTTGGCCACAACTTTCTAAAGAAGCATTAGTCTATAAGTGGCCCCTCAATATTGTGAATAAGAATACTGGTTAGTTCAAGTGGAAAAGGTTGAGGGACTTGTGACTTAGGTCACAGGTGCCATGCAAACTTAAGTGGAGAAGGGTAGAGGGACGGGCCTATTATTCCCGAATTTCGAAGGTTGTGGTTGATCATAAGGTTTAGCCCCAGATGGATTTCTCGGTCATAAAAAAGAACGTACATAAAAATACATGATAAATCAAGTCCCTGCAACATTTTTTTGTTGAGCTCTTCTGAGAGCAATGAAAGTCCTCTCTCCTTTCTGTAGCAGCAATTCTAAAAAAGAGCTGTTTCTCTCATTCTGTTGGATAAGCTTGGAATAACATTTTGCATAATATTACTGTGAAACATTATTTCTAGAATTGCAATGAATTCTTTCCGTAAGACTTTGATTTATACTGGTGTCAGACCATCACCTACTGATAAGTATATAGGCTAGTAAAAAAATTCTATCTTTATGCTTGTCCACCTTACAGTGATCTGATGTTGGTCTATGGGCAAATATGCTTCTGTACGTTGTCTTTTTAGTATCCCTCTTTTGTCATGGCGTATTTATTAGTTGATGAACCTTTCGATTTAAGCAATACGCTAGGTGTGTTTGATTTTTCCCTTCCCTTGTCCATTAGCTTTTGTAATAAAAATCTCACTACTCCATGCCATAAAAATCACTCCATCCCATATCTTGGTAGATTTTGCCATCTCAATACTTGGGAAGTATCTTAGTTTATTGAGATCTTTGCTTTGAAAGTGTCTAAGAAGTTGTTAAGTGGAATAATGCCTTCATGATTATCATCTGTTATGTTGTCTACATAAACAACCAATAATTTGTGTTTGTGATTATCCTTATCTTTTAAACATGGAGTAATCATCTTTACTCTGAAGCATGCCAAATTGTTGGACAACCATGCTAAAATGGCCCAACAGTACCCTTGCTTGGGACCATACAGAGATCGGCATAGTCGACACATTAACCCACACTCCACCTGAACTCAAATCCTGGAGGTTTCTCCATGTAGATCTCATCACCAAGTTCACCATGAAGAAAACTATTTTTGGTATCCAACTAATAGAAGGGCCAATGAAGCGTAGCTGCCTTGGAGATAAAGAGGCAAAACAGATGCAATCTTTGATACTTGATAGGTCATTTTAGTCATTTTTATAGATTGGAGGATGGGGGAAAAAGTTCCATATTCAACCAGAGATGGATAGAAGGGATATTCCAGCTTAAGGAAAAAAACACATTATTACAGTGGTGATTCATGCCAGTGAAGAAGCAATAAAAGAAAAGTCTGTTTCCTTATTCAAAACCATTTCTTTGAATGAAGTTAGAAGGAAGCTCTAAAAGTATGGTCTATTAGTAGTTTGTCTTGCTCAGTGTGGTGCATAACACAAAAAGCCTTATGGTACAAAAATGGGCTGTTCACTATAGATAAATTGGTCATTGCTGAAGAATATCATTGTTCCAATATCAATGTGTACCCCTACTTTTCACACTGATGGGTATTGCTATTTCATACTAGATGTGGAAAAAATTGTGGACTTCAGACTTGTGCATATCACTTTTTACTCTGTATGCTACTTATATATAGGAATAAAGCCACACAATGGAAACTGCGGATTACATGCTTGAGGCTCTTAGCCTATTTTTTGTGATTATATTAGAATTAAGAAGGATAACGAGGAATTCCGCTTGGGCTGTCTCCACCTTTTTCTGTTGCAGGAGCCTGATCCCTGTATTGGAGTTTGTGATGACAAGAGAGTTTCTTTGTTGGCGATGAGTTTCTCTTTGGACGAAGTTGAATTTGCAATTAGTAAACTTGGTATGTGAAATAGCTGTAGTTTTTTGTATTTTTAAAAATGCTCTTGGATTGTCTTGTAGTATTATGGTTCTCATATCTTCTTTTTTAGGAAAAGTAAGCAAGTATTAAATTAATTATTTTTTTTAAACTGGTAACTTTTAGCATTAAATTAAATTATAAACAAAGCAGCCTGGCACTAAGCAGAATCCTCCTAACTGTGCTTCATAGATGACAGTGAAGTCTGAGCATGAGTCATTCTGCTTGTATTTGTCAATGTTCTAGTCACAGAGAAATGTTGTTTACTGTACTAGTTTTCCTAGATTTTGGAACATTGGTCTATCCAGCTCTCCAGGCGATGCAACCATGAAACAGAAAAAAGAGAAAATGGTAGCGGAAAATCCCGAAAGGTTTCTAAATATGCAATTTAGTCCTTGAAGTATGATTTTCTTTTTAGTCCTTGCATTTCTATTATGCTTATCGTATTTTTTAAAGTAATTTTATTTGCATTTTCTGGCAGGTCACGTATGAATTGTGTTACTTCTAGGAAGCAAAACTTGAAAGTGCGAAGAACTCAACAATCTTAACGTTTTCAATAAATTTCTTGTTCTTTCCTCTTAATTCTCTCAAGGGGAGTCCTGCATCTCTCCTTCTATTGCCCTTTCACCCTCCAAGTCCAAACCCATATTAGCCCTCACTGCTCTGAGACGTCTCCTCTCAATTATCATATTACTTCCCAGTCTACTCCTACTTGCTCTCTCCCTTCCCTGGCCACATCGCCACTGAATTTCTGTCTTCTGAGAGAGTTAGCAGCACTTTTATCTCTCCTTCTTTACCTTTGCTCCCTAGTGTCTCCCTGTCCTCAGCCTGTTGCAGCTTCTCTTCACTCTACTCTACTACCCACCACTCTTGCTCCTTGCAGCCAGTTGCTTCCTCAAACTGATGTCCCAGCTGTTTGACCATTAGTCAGTCCAGGAAAAGTTAAAGTATTAAGTAATCTGTCATTTTCCCATCTCTGAAGTTGTGCTATACAGTCAACCCATCATCTTTGATGTTTTTATGCGTCCATTGTGTAAAAGTTTCATGTGACATTTAGCAGAACCAAATTCAGTTATTTTGTTACTCATGTGGCCTAGAAAACCTTGTTCTTTTCTAATCCCGTCTTTAGAGCCTGTAGAAAATTGTAGACTTAAGTGTCAATGATATGCAAGGAGAGAAGTCCAGAAAATTCTTTGGTCTTTCTCCCTGCTCCTTGTTTCTGTTTTTCTCTCTGTTACCTGTGAAGGAATTTGGAACACAACATTGAGAAATATTGCAGTATATGTCTGATGGTCCTAGTAAAGCTTCTGAATGTAGGAAGGAGAAATTTCAATGGACTAATATTACCTATCTTGACATAATTTTTTCTAAATTGTAGATCATTGATGTTTTTAGTAGCTGATCGAATCATGAAAAGCTAAAATAAGAGCAAATGACACTAGGTTTTTAAAAAATGCATTGTAGAACCTAACAAATGGTTGTACTCTTTTAGATCCCTCTACTTGTATTTCTTCTAATTATTGGATTTCACAGTACTGGAGCTTTCATATTCATCCATAGCATAACGTGACATACATGTTGCTTTAACAAGTGCAAACCCAGAGTGCTCCACCATTCTCTCTCTTTCTCTGTGCACACCCACCAATCCAGCTGCCTATTGCCAACTCCTGCTGGGCCCTACCTGAAAGCAACATTCTAGCTTCCATCACTTATGTATTATCCTGAATCTCTGACCTTCCCAGGCACCCATCATTTATCCATCCCTCAGGTGCCATCAACATCTCCTAAGCTGCAGTTATTATATGCCCCTCTTCCTCCAGCCCGTTACAGGATGCCTTAGCCTTTTCTTTTCTCTTCTCACCGCAGTGAGAAATTAATAAAATTTTCTGATAACGGAATTAATGAAATCCATATGCTGTCCCCATCATATGTAGTTTCCTATTTACTCCAAAGTGCCAAGAGCCCTAAGCATTTGTTCCTCAAAATGTACACGCCAGTAGCTTTGCCTTCAAACCTTTGAATCCTTCCCTTCCACAATGTCAAGCATATACAAACACCTTTTCGCCATTCTGTTTTACTCCAAAGTGCCAAGAGCCCTAAGCATTTGTTCCTCAAAATGTACACGCCAGTAGCTTTGCCTTCACACCTTTGAATCCTTCCCTTCCACAATGTCAAGCATATACAAACACCTTTTCGCCATTCTGTTTTACTCTCCTGAGCATTTTTCGGTTTTGAGGTCTGAGCTAAAATTGGAACAAGTCAGAGAAGTTTGGTGGACAGTTAGCGGTCATTGTGTCCATAATGAAGGATAAAATATCTCAATAAGATCATATCACAATCCTTAGAGACTAATAACTCCAACGTGAAGGGTGGAAGTTAGAATCATAAAGCAGATAATTTAGCATTAGCTGGTGCGGCAGACCTTATGCTGAACCCAACTAGTTTTGGATTAAGGCATAATAGTAGTAGTTGTTATTGTGTTTCTCTATGTCCAAATTGCCTCGTTATAGTAAAATCATATTTTTGTATAACATAAATATACATGCGATAATTCATAGTTTGCCACTGAAGATTCTTTTCTTTCCTTAGATTTATTCTCAATTTCTTTTTGCTTTAAATGGACAATCATCTAAACTAAATACTCCTCATGCTGTATACAGGTGAAGCTGCTCCTGTCCACGAACTAGTGGATGTAATCTTTGCAGCTCGAATCGCTGGGAATTACAAAAAAGATGATGACGATGATGTTTCTGTTGTTGAGATGAAAGAAAGGAACAAGGTTAGTGATTTATGTGAACTCTTTTTTGAGTCTTTGATTGGAAAAAAAACTATGAAACATATGAAGAGTTAGAAAGCGGACAAGCTACCCTTTCAAGAATATGCAGAAGTTACATTAACTGATATTTCGGCGTGTTTGAAGAGAAAGGAATTGCATATGTTTTGATGTGATATCAACTCCTCCCCCACACTTAGGGCTACATGTCTTTGGCAATATTTAGCCCATATATATTGCCTATTAACTTGTTGGATTTTGTCAGCTCATTTGCTTTAGCTTAGCCTTTTTTTGGTATCAAAACTGACTCTTTTCCCCACTTTTGTACTTCTTGCATCTTCTTTTATGCCTATGTAGAACTTCTTACTTCAAAGAAAAAAGAAGAGAAAGAAGGTTACATTGACTGAATAGATCACCCAATTAAGTTGGATGTCGTCCCTATACCTTGGAGGGATGGACCAGCACCTGGTGCCTTAACTTCGACTGAGCTAACCAACCTTAGCATGAATTGATAAACAAAGCTCATGCATGACTTTAAAAACGTAAAGCTTTTCATAAAACACTTTCTTTTCATAAACTTGTAAAACTATAAATACAAAATAGCTATTCATACATGTCATATAAGACCTCAATAGAATGTCAAAAGACATAACATGACTCGTTGTGCCTATGAAGCCTCTATGAGAATATGAATAGAGAAATGCTGGTGACAAGGCCCCGGATATAGCCAAAAGAATATAAATCTTTATATTATCAAAAGAATGTCCCGAACATAGAATGGGGCTCATCAAAAGACGGGAGGATGATGGAGGTGCCTAGCGAGAGCCCATGCCATTCAAAGTATCAGCACTCGCATCCACAAAAGAGATGCATAACCCCCGCGAAGGGACGTGAGTACACAACAACAAGTGGTTGACTGTATCATCAACTCTTTCACATAAAATGGGACAAGACAGTTAAGGAAAAACATTAAGAGGTAATATGCAATTCAAACAATATCATTTCATTTCAACATTCGAGTGTTTGAACTTGAAACAGACTTAACTTTTACTGGGAGTTCCATTAGTCACTGACATATTCATTGAACCACTATGTGTACGACATGGAGTCCAATCTCAGTCATTGGCTAAGCCATCTCACCTCAATGCTGTGTGGTTTGACATTTATTTGCTAGCATTTCATTAATCCCAACCACGGGAGACTATCTAGTTGCCCAAACCAATGGCTACGACCATAGTCCTACATTGGCACCATGTAGCTTCGGGTTTTTGACCTTTTGCAAATACCTTCTCATTTATTCCAAGGAGACTCCAGAAACATTTCATTTTATTTGGTGCCTTTGGCCCTTTTGCATTAAACAATAAGCTTAGGCTCATTAGCCATATATCTTTCCTGTACCATCTCATAATTGTTTACCTTTAACATTTGAAAAACCATAAGATCATTTGAAAAAACTTGAATATCATAATCATTCTCATTTAAACCTCGACGCAGTCATGGTCATGTGAAGCATCACATTTGAAACCTTAACATATGAGGAAAACATGGATAGTGCATAATTACTTGTCAACCACAATTATACACTTAACAATTTAGAAGGCAATAGTCATATAGCTACGGTTAGAAGACATGTAGTTTTGTAGAACGATTCTATGGGAGGGTTCATCTCAACATACCTCGAGTGTCCTGAAGCCAGCATAGCTCCTTACACTCCAATTGACTTAAACAAACATTAATCACCTAATTTCATCATTTATCTCTATCCATTCAGTTACCATTATCAAAAAAAAAAACTTTATCTCTACCTATTACTATCTACCACAAATCCTAGTTCATAAGCCCCATTCAAGAACTTGGATGTCTTCTTATCTAAATGGTGATCCTCAACCAATTACACCTTGCAAATATCTATCTCATACTTGACTTTGAACATGGGGTAAATATTTTACCTTTTGGGTTCAATATCCTAGCTTGGGATCCTTGTAGATATTCTTGAAATCCCCCCCCCCCCCCCCATGCGCGCAGGGGTTCTCGACAAGCATGTGTGTTAACCCCACGTGTCACACACCCTGCCGCGTACTTCCCTCGCCTGTGTGTGGCGCTACCTGGGACACTTCAAGCTGGAACTTGGGTCCTCTTCTTTCCTTCACGTTTGGCTTTTCGCACTTGTGCACTAATACTTCAACACGCATCTTGGTTTGTTCAATCACTCTCATGACCTTGTTACACTCGTGTGGGTCCCATTTTTTCCAGACTTTCTCTGCAGTGAAATTTTAAGCCTGAATTAGCTTAAATCAAAAGTAAAAATTTACGGGGCTTAGACTGTAGATCTATAAAGAGATGTATTGAATTAATCATGTAGCTCACAATATGGAAAAAAAGGTTCTTTGAATCAACTGTCTTTAGAATTCATTATAGAAGGCTTTTTGTCATGTACCATAAGTGAATATCACACTTGCAAAGATTAAACTGCTTCATGTAACTGTTTCGTTGTCCTTCCTGACTTGAGTGTAATTTAAGAGTGGATTTTTTCTATAACTAACCTGCTCCATATTATATGAGCCCAAATATCTTAGTTCCTGGTTAGAATACCATTAATTAAGAGTTTATGTGCTTTGATTAATACCGACTTTGTTGTCTAGGAATGCACAACTGAGTCTCTGTTTGGAACCATGGAGAAGACATTGAAATTGCTTGAAATGGGTTTCTCTGAGAATGAAGTTTCCACAGTTATTGAGAAGTTTGGTGAGCAAATTATGTTCTTTTTTTTTTTTTTTTGAAATTGGTAACTTTTTATATTCCTCAGCATTAAGGGCTTTGCTGGCCACCTCCAAAAAAAAAAAACTGTTACAACAAAAGGAAAAGACTAAAAAGAAATACTTACAGAGATCCTATGAAGTCCACTAATTGGATCTCCTCTTCTATATCCTGTTCTTTACACCAAAAACCTAAAGTAGTAATTACTTTCCATTTGATCTTCTGTATTGTACACTCCTTTCCTTCAAAAATTCTCTGATTCCTTTCTTTCCATATAATCCACCATATACATGCTGGAACTGTTCTCCACCATCTTTTCTGACTTTTGCTGCCTCCCCTTTTGATCCAGCAGCTACGAAGGTCAGAGGTGTGTTCAGGCATAGTCCAATATTCATTGGCTATGCTTGTAAACAGAGCCCACACCTGAGCAGTTACCTTACAGTGCATGAATAAGTGTTTGTTAGTCTCCAGAGCTTCTTTACAAAGGAGGCATCTGGATACTATGTTGATGCCCCTCTTCTGCATTGCCTCATGAGTCAAACATTTTTTCCTAGCAACCAACCAAGTGAAACACTTCACCTTGGCAGGAGCCACACTTTTCCATATTGTGTTCCAAGGTCCAATGGATCTTCCTGCACATCTTTTAAGTCCCCAGTTGTATAATCTATTCACTGAAAATACCCCATCTTTGTGATGTCCCCATGCTAATCTGTCTGGCTCTAGAGTAGTACCTGGGAATCCACCAATCAAGCCCAAACACTCCACCATTCCATCAATCTCCCAGTCATTTAGCAGTCTTCTAAATATTATATTCCAACCTTGTGGTGACCACATCTCCTCTATCTTGCTGTTGGTATTTGTGCATATTGAGAAAAGAATAGGGAACAAGTCCCTCAAAATCCCATTTCCACACCAATCATCTAGCCAGAACTTTGTTTTGTCTCCTCTACCCACCACAATTTTTGAGTTGTTGTTTAGACTCTCCCAAAGGTTTCTGATGGTCCTCCACACCCCAACTCCATAAGTTTCATTAACTTCACTAGTGCACCACAAATCCTCTTGCCCATATTTGTGGTTTATTATCTCTTTCCATAGAGCCTGCTCCTCCTGATTATATCTCCACAACCATTTTGAGAGGAGGCTCATGTTATGAACTTTTAAATTTCTCACTCCCAGCCCCCCATTTTCCTTGCTTTGTTGTACTACAGGCCATTTCACCAGGTTGAACCCCTTTTCTATCTTGTTCCCTTGCCATAAGAAGTTCCTTCTGAGTGCATCTAAAACCTTCACTATGCTACTAGGAATAGGAAAAAGGGACATCACATAAGTGGGTAAAGAATCCAGAACTGAGTTAATTAATGTAACTCTACCTCCCAGAGATAGGTATTGAGATTTCCATATAGCCAATTTCTTCTCTGTTTTCTCAATAATGCCATCCCAAATTTTTCCTGCTTTGTGCTCAGAACCCAAAGGCATCCCAAGGTAAACTGTTGGGAGCTTCTCTATCTTGCACTTCAAGATGCTTGCAAGATCCTCAATCTGTTGCACTTCCTTAATTGGAAAAATGCTACTCTTTCTCCAGTTTACTTTCAATCCTGAGCAAGCCTCAAAGACCACCAGGATCACTCTTAAGTAGCAAATTTGTTCCTGCTCAGCTTCACAGAATACCAATGTGTCATCTGCATACAAAAGATGTGTTAGTTCAATTGTATCGTTTACCCTGTTCTTTATGGAAAAGCCCCTTATCCAGTTATTCTGAGAAGCAACTCTCATCAATCTGTCCAAACCTTCCATGGCTAAGATAAATAGAAAAGGGGATAGTGGGTCCCCTTGTCTCAGGCCTCTTTCTGCTGGAAAAAACCCAACTGGTTCTCCATTTACAAGTATGGAGAACCGCGTGGTTTTAATGCAGAAATTCATCCAGCTTAACCATCTCCACCCAAACCCCATCTGCCTTAGGACATTGATTAGAAACTCCCAGTTCAAATGGTCATATGCCTTCTCAATGTCTAGCTTGCACATCAGTCCAGGGATTCCACCTCTAATTCTAGAATCAATGCACTCACTAGCTAGAAGTGCAGCATCTATGATTTGCCTTCCTTTGATAAAGGCCATTTGATGCTTGTTTATTAGCTTACTGATCACCTTTTTTAACCTTTCTGCCAGCACCTTAGCTATGATCTTGTATACCCCTGTGATCAAGCTGATAGGTCTAAAATCCTTTAGCTCATTTGCCCCCACCTTCTTTGGAATTAAAGCTACAAAAGTGGCATTAAAACTCTTTTCAAACTTTTGATGAGCATGAAATTTGTGGAAGGTTTGCATCACATCGTCTTTGATAGTTTCCCAAAAAACACTGAAGAAAGCCATTGTATAGCCATCTGGTCCAGGTGCTTTATCAACAGCACACTGTTTTATTCCTTCCAAAACTTCTTCCTCCTCAAAGCCTCTAGACAACAAAATTTGTTCTTCTTCTGTGATTGTTTGAACATCTAAGATGTTCAAAGATGGTCTCCAACTTTCTGTCTCCTTGTACAAAATCTGATAAAAATCCACAATTTCATTTCTGATTGCAACAGGATCTGAAGACTCTTCTCCATTAATCACTAAGGATTCTATAGTATTGTTTCTTTTGTGGGATGTCGCCATTCTGTGGAAGAACTTGGTGTTCTTATCTCCATTCTTTATCCACTGAATTCTGGATCTTTGTCTCCAATGGATTTCCTCATTTCTAGCTACTTCCTCATACTCCATTGCTATATGAGCTTTCAAAAGTTGCTCATCATCTGTTAATGTTCTGTGCACTTGAATGTTTTCCCACCTGCCAATTTGTTCCAGTAGGTGTTCTTTTCTGACCCTCCAGTTGCCTCTATTTTCTTTGCTCCATTCTTTGAGCTTCTTTTTTAAGAAGCTCAATTTTGAGGCTAGTATAAAGTCAGGACTGCCGGTCACATTAAAGGAACCCCACCACTCCTTAACTTTGTCTCGAAAGCCCTCCACATTTAACCACCACTTCTCAAACTTGAAATATGATTTTTTGAAAACCTCATCCCCACAGATCAGTACTATTGGATTATGATCAGACCCCAAACTAGGTAAAGTACTTTGTCTAATTTGGGTGAACATTTCATCCCAAGGAAAAGAGTACAGGAATCTGTCGATTCTTGAAGCATTTTTCTGATTTTCCCCTCCTCTCCATGTGTAGGGTCCCCCAAATAAAGGGGGATCCACAAGTTCCAATTCATTGATGCAACTGGAGAAATCAGACATAGCCTCGGAAATTCTGCTACAATTGGTCTTTTCAGATGGAAACCTTGTGGTGTTGAAATCCCCACATACCACCCATGGCCCTTCACAGAAGCTCCTCATTGCACCCAACTCCTCCCACAGTTCCTTTCTCTCCCTCCCATCGCATGATGCATATACTTTGCTAGTGTCTATTACTCCAGTAACTGCTTGCATATTGAAATCACAATAGTGTTACTGCAGCCTTTCTGATTTGGTAAAATATGCCATTAGCGTCTTCAAGTTCTCTTTTTCAGTCAAGTTTTTTTTTAATTGGATGCTTCATTTAGCTTTTATCTTCTGCCTTTTAGGTTCTGAAGTTCCTCTCGAAGAGCTTGCAAATTTGATTATAGATCCTAGTAGTAGTAGAAGAATGGACAAGGTAATTAATTATGTCTCCTTTTTTGTTTTCGTATGTCATAAAACTCACAATTTTAGTAAATCCTTATGTGTTGATTAGATAGCTTGCTTCAATTAGTTCCTACCAAAAATAAGACAATAACATTGTGAGAAATAAAGGAGAAAAATATTACTGAATTGTTGTTGTGTCTACATTATTACATGAGATCCTATTTATAGACACTAGAATACAATCCTTTACCAAGTAGGATACTATTTACTATTCCTATTCCTATTTGTATTCCTATTCCTATTCTAAATAGGATTATATAAACCTATTCCTATTCTAATAGGATTGTGTAAACCTATTCCTATTCTAATAGGATTGTATAAACCTATTCATATTCTAACACTCCCCCTCAAGCTAGTGCATACAATTCATGTACCTAGCTTGTTACCAATGTAATTAATACGAGGACTGATGAGAGGCTTGGTGAGATATTTGCAAGTTGATCAGTCGACTTCACAAAATTGACAGTCAATCTCAATGTGCTTGTCTTCTCATTAAATACTTGATTTTGATGCATAATGTCAGTCAATCTCAATGAGCTTAATCTTCTCATGAAATATTGAATTTGATGCATAATGCCGATAAAACACAGAGTGATAAAATTACAGTGTTGAACTTTCCAAACCAAACTTGCAAAGACTGTTTCAGACCATAGAGTGACTCACATAATCGACATACAAATCATCGAAAAACTGGCCGGAACATGCTCATATGTCGGAGTATTAGATTTGATGGCTAAAAGTGGTCACAATCTAAGAAATAAAATTATATGGGTAGGGTCGGAATGATGTCACGACCCAACTAGAAAAGAGAAATTATATAGGATAGTTCGAATTGATGGAACGACCCCATTGAAAAAGAGAAATAATATGGGTAGGGTCTGAATGATGGCACAACCCTACTGAAAAAGAAAAATTATATGGGTAGGGTTGGGATGATGGCACAACCCTACGCAAATCAGATTTGAGGAGTCACCAGAAAGACGAATGGAACTATGCAAATCAAATTTGAGGAGTCACTGAAAAGACACATGGTGGTGCTATGCAACTCAGATATGAGAAAATAGTTCGGAAAAAATCCACGGTACTACACAAATAAAATATGAAAAGTAGTCCAGAAAAATGCACGGTGTTACACAAATCAGATACGCAAAAAAAGATAGTCATCGGAAGGATGGCACGGTGCTACACAAATTATATATGAAAAAGTAGTCACTGGAATGATGGCACAGTGCTACACAAACCAGATATGAAAAAGTAGTCACTGGAAAGATCGCACGGTACTACACAAATTAAATATGAAAAAGTAGTCACCGGAATGATGGCACGGTGCTACACAAATTAATTATACAAATTAATTATGAAAAAGTAGTCACCAGAATAATGGCACGGTGCTACACATATTAGATATAAGAAAGTAGTCATCGGAATGATGGCACGGTGCTACACAAATTAGATATGAGAAAATAGTCACATGAAAGATACATGGTGACCCAACTTTTGCTAACATAATCATTGGCCAGACGGGCAACATATATGGGTGCCACCCACCGGCAGCGAAAGCTCTGTGATTTTCTACCAAGATCATTGAGGCTCTGATACCATGTGAGAAATAAAGGAGAGAAATATCATTGAATTGTTGTTGTGTCTACATCATTACATGAGATCCTATTTATGGACACTAGAATACAATCCTTTACCAAGTAGGATACTATTTACTATTCCTATTCTAAATAGGATTGTGTAAACCTATTTCTATTCTAATAAGATTGTATAAACCTATTCATATTCTAACAAACATATCAAAGAGGTTTCAAGCAATTGTGACAACCACTCACACCTTTGCCTGAGAAACTCTATGGTGGTGTGCTTGCAGCTGTAGTTCAAAATCAACTATTAGCAAGAGAATTTTGGGGATGATTCTTCTTTGATTATTTGCATGAAGCATTGTTTTAGAATTCATACATGGACTACAGTTTTGCTCATCATCTATTGACATGCTCTGCTCTATGCAATTCTGATGCTTAAAGTTGTGTAGAAACTAGAGTATGACTAGATTAATTTAGATAAACTATTGTATTTTTTTCAAATGACTTGCTGATGTTTTGATACTTTTTGTTTATCTGAGATCTCATTTTCCTTATGGTATGCTGTTTGAGAATCCCGTTTTTAATTTATTTTGTTTTATTCATCTGCTTGCATTGCAGCATCTCTTAAACTCTCTTGGCAGGAATGGTTCAATTGTTTTTCATCCGGTAGCTGTTAAGAAAGAGGAATATAGTCTGGATACCTCTGAATCTAGAGAACTTGACCTACTGGAAAAGCTTAAAGGGAAACGGCCAAAGGAGAACTACATTGATGAGATAGACACTAAGAGACCGAAATCAGAGTATGATGAAGCCTTTAACAATTCCCTTGGCCCTGCGTGGCAAGAAATATTAGGCCTCAATACCACCAGGCCTTATAAAGTCCATCGAAGAGCGATTCACCAAAGATCAAGAGTTCTGGATTGCCAAGAAACACAGAAATTATCTATGCCGAATTCATGTAGGAGCCTTGATAAGATGGTGGCTAAAGCTCCCTATTTCTTTTATGGGAATGTAATGAACTTATCTCATGACTCTTGGGTAAGAATATCACAGTTTTTGTATGCCATTGAGCCAGAATTTGTTCATACTCAACTTTTCTCAGCTCTGAGTCGTAAAGAAGGTTATGTACATAATCTTCCTACTGAAAATCGATTTCACATTGTTCCGAAACCACCAATGACAATTCAAGAAGCAGTTCCCAGTAGTAAAAAATGGTGGCCATCATGGGATACAAGGAAACATTTGAACGGCATCAATTCTGAGACATCTGTTATATCTCAGCTATGTGATAGGCTTGAAAAAACAGTTAGTGATTCCCAGGGGTTTCCTTCAGTTGACAGACAGAGAGATATCCTCAACCAGTCCCAGATATTTAATCTAGTCTGGGTAGGCCGCTACAAATTGGCAGCTGTAGGGCCAGAACAAATAGAACGTATTCTTGGCTACCCAGAAAATCACACTCGAATTGCTGCATTTAGCTTGATGGAAAGACTTCTATCACTGAAACATTGCTTCCAGATAGATACATTGGCTTATTGTCTCTCTGGATTGAAGCATCTGTACCCTGGAGGGTTGACTGTGTTGTCAATATATAGCGGAATTGGTGGAGCAGAAGTTGCGTTGCATCGCCTTGGTATTCGCTTAAAAGCTGTTGTTTCAATAGAGGCTTCTGAGAAAAACCGGAGAATTCTCAAGCAATGGTGGAGTAGTTCAGGACAAACAGGAGAACTCGTGCAGATGGAAGACATCCACAAGTTGGCCAGTAACAAGGTAGAGGTCTTGATTAAGAACTTTGGTTGTTTTGATTTCATCATATGCCAGAACCCATGTACATACTCTTCTAAAGGTAATTTAGCTGCAGATATCGATAGTCATGCAAGTTTAGATTTCATGTTGTTTCATGAGTTTGTTCGTGTCCTGCAACGTGTAAGAAGTACAATGGGGCAGAATTAGCGAGTTCCTTAGCTTTAATGCGTAGGCACTTAGTGAACTGAGCTTAATGTTATGTTGTCCTGGATTATGACTTCTACAGTTCTACTTTGTAATATATGAAGCTTAAATTGTGAATGGTGCCCATTACATTATTTTGAGCGGAGGGTCTTTTGGAAACAACTTCTCTACCCCACAGAAGTAGGGGGTAAGGTTTGCGTACATTCTATCCTCAGACCCCACTTGTGGGACTACACTGGTATGCTGTTGTTGACTTAGATCAAAGGTAATTCCTCAGAAGTGTCATTAATATTCTGGTTTTGAGGGGATATCTTTTATAGTTATTACTTCGTTGATGTACAAAAAGCAGTTTGAGTTTGTTTCAGTTTATTGCTTATTTTTGAAAGTAATGCAGATTTGGTTAAAAAGAATTGTTTGTCTGTGAACACTTCTGTGGTGAAAAACATCCTTTGTATTCTCAGATAAAACCTTTTCTCTTTTTTTTTTCTTTTTCTTTTTAAACTCTATGCAAAAACTATTAAGTTTTACCACCATTTGGATTTTGAAGGAAAGAAGTGAGATATATTGATGTAGGAGAAATGCAAAATGGGGTCTTTGATTATGTATTGTGTAGTTCTTTTTCTCCCATATATAAAGAGGAGTCTGAAGCCAGAAGGACAACAAAATTGAGTTAAAATTTCAAAAGGGCAACAAAAAATAAGGTTGAAACCAAAAGAGCAACATTTGCATGGGAGGGCGACGCCATTAGTTTTGTGGAGGAAGGCGCAAGTTCCCATGTGTTGGGACATAGTATTTGTAAGACGCAAGTCTGCCTGCACCTTTCTCATGATGCAATATATTTTACGAAATCAAATTAGATTAGGTGTTTACTTGACAATTGACATGATTTGATTACCTTAAAAATGATATAAAAAAACTTCTAGAACCAATAAAAAGATAAAGAATTTTAATCTCTTTCGTGAACTTTATATCCCCGTAACACTCACACTATTCACTTTATGTATTCATTATATTAAAAATAATGTTTTATTTTCACTCATTCATTTTAACATTTGAAAAGAAAAATATATTTTCATGGTTACTCTTAACATTAGTTATTAATTTTTTAAAATATTAATAATAGTTAGTATAATAATAAAATATACAATTCATTTTTTTAAAGTTAATTATGAATACGTAAAAATAGGGGTGTGCACTATTTGAATTAAATCGAAAAATCAAACCAAATTGAACCGAATACTAATTTGGATTGGTTTTTTGATTTTGGGTTAATAATTTACTTTGTTTAATTTTTTTTATTTAATTTTGAATTTAGAAAAATAAAAACCCAAAACCCGAAAAAAACGAATTATATATATATATATCGAGAGTACTCATCATGATGCAAGAAATATATCAAAAGTATTTGAAAATTCAAATTACTTGGACTTGTAAAAACCAAACTAACAAAATTATAGGCTATGTAGTTTTCCATTATTATACTTTTACAAATAATAGAAAGGTCCCAAAATAAGTTAATGGTCTTGTTCATTTATAGGTGCAGGCATATCTGCGTCGCCTTCCTCCACAAACTTTATTTTAAGACTCTAGTTTCTTCTTCACCATGGTAGTGGGTGAAAAAAAGTAGTACTAATTACCTCCATTAAAGGGGGAGGTAATTTTATTTTTAAGAAGTAAATAAATAAATAAATAGAAAAAAATATATAAATTATTTGATTATAACATAAATATAATAAACTTTTTACATGTTTATTGCTTCTCACTCTCTCAAAGAGAGTGAAATACATTCTATGTGCCAACTTAGCCCTTGAGGGGTTATTTATGTAATAGAACCCCTCTAATATATAAATGTGTAATTGAAAATTTGTTAATAGGTGGGGGTTCATTTGACTATTCTAATTATACACATTATCTTCAATTAGAACACATGTCTAAAGCTTTACGAGGTATTAAGGCTAATCCGTATAATTAAAAGAGGTGACATATTTTAAGTTGTTAAAATTATCTACGTAATAAATACTTGAAAACGTAGACAAAAACTTTATCAAAATTTCAATCGAAAATATCTAATAAAGAATTTCATTATGTATTTTGATAATTCGATCGAAATAAATCATAATCTGTTTATCTAAAATTGAATTTACTGACATACTTAAGATACTGACGATATGTATATGCCATATAATATAAAAATCATTGGATCCATAATGGCAGGGGTGTTTCTTCGTCGAAAAATTACATTATTTAGTTAGGTAAGAAAATTAATTTCATGTATAGATACTATATATATATATATATATATTATTTATTTATTACATGTGTCTATTTATTTATATTTTAATATTCCTAAGTAAAATATCTAACTCCGCTACTAAAGACCCAAAAGGTTCTATATAAAGGCTATGAAGCTTGGTTTCAATAAGTATTGTTATTGTTATTGCTATTGCTATTTGCTAAGAGAGGATGGGTTTGAGGGGTAAATTAGTTGCTCATGTAGAGGTCAAGTGTGGTGGAGAACTATTTCATGATCATTTCAACTCCAAACCCCACCATAGCCCTAATATAAGTGATAAGATAAATCATTTTGAGGTTAATGAAGGTGAATTAGGAACTGTTGGTACTCTTGTTGAATGGAGATTTAACTATGGTAAGTCACTTTTATTTTCTGGTGAAATAAAAATTATTTAGTTCAAATTTTTATGATAGAAAAGAAAGAGAATTTTTTATTATTTAGATTTTTCTTGTTATTAATGTTCAGATAAAAATTTATTTATGTAGGTGAGAATAGAGTATAATATTTATTTTGTTATTTTTGTTCACTCGAATTTCCTTAATTTCAGAAATTCTATTTGGATCTTACCTTACGACACCGTTCAAATTGAGTCTCTATTTACTTTTACTTATTTATTGTGTTAAGACTATATTTTTTTTGTCCCATTATTATAGCATATTAGGAGAATAATAATTTCTTTTTTCATTATTTTACCCTTATTCATTAAGAATATACACTAATTAATATATTATCATGATAAAATGTGCTATTTTTATTAAGAAGCGTACAAAGAGTAAAAGTGAACGAAGGGAGTATTGCTTATATAAAAATAATAATCCATTTAACAAATCAAAAGATATTTATATTTTCTTCTAATATAATAGTACTTATCATTAAGTAACTACATGGAGTATTATTAATTAAATGTATATTTTCAAAGCACAATTAATATGAATAATTTAGTAAATTAAATAAAAGCAATAAATTATTTCTCAAGAGGAGTGTTACATTAGTAGAGGATTAACAAAAAGTAATGGAGGGAATACATGGTTATAGTGTTAAGACAAAATTATTAATTTAGAGATCAAGGTAACAACCATGATGTAATATACATTGATAGTATAGTAATATTTTTTTGCGAATCAACTACAATTTTTTACAAATATTTTACAAGTTTATTAATTAAAAAATAATTATCTTATAATTAATCTGAGCCCCTCATACTCTTGGGAATTGGCATTGATCTCATCAAAGACATTGATTCACACCATCACAACAAATGAATGATACATTGTCTATTTCCCTTATTTTATTTAGTGTTTTTCATTTTATGCGGAAAATATATCGTAAATAATCTTTCTATCATTATGAGGTAAGGATAAGATATATGTCAGTGTATTTGTTACCTTCTTCAAATACTATTTGTGAGATCAGGATATGTTGTTGGTGTTGTTGTTGTAATTTAGTGTTTTCAATGTGTAATCTATTTTTTATTATGTGTAATTCCCATTGTGCTTGCTATCGAAAATAAATTTTCTATCTTTTAAAGTAAGGATAAAGTGTGTGGAATTAGAGGCGTCAACTGAGCGAATTGGATTGAAATTGGAGTTTAGTACTAGTAATAACTACTCTTAAATATGTTATTTATTAAATTTACTCTAAAAGAAAATGAGTTGAAATAGAAATCGGGTTGGATTCTGACCCGTCCAACTTTACTTTGGGCTCAAACGAGCTAAAACAGGTTGAGTCATAACCCGCCCAATCCGATATGCTTAATCTCAATAACTTTATTATATTGTTATTTAATTTTTATAACCTTAATTTGAATTTCAACTCAAGAAAAAAAAATGAAGAAGTTACAAATGGATAAATAAATCCTAGAAGATATAAAATAGATAGTAACTCATACTACTTTTTATATAAGAACATACATTACATTAATGCAAATAAAGAGTCTTAAAACAAGTTGAAAGTGGAGATTAATTAGGCTCAATTGATGATTCATTTAAAATGAATTAATGCTTAAAGAGTTAAGATTGAACCAAATCCAAATTATCTTGAGCCAAATCCATAAAATTTTGGACAGATTAAGCGGGTTACATATATTTGGGTTCATTTTGACACCCCTTATGTAGAATTATACTTGGATATGTTGTTGTTGTGATTCCATATGCTTTTTATCGAAAATAATTTTTCTATCTTTTAAGATAAAAATAAGATTCACATAATATATTAGGTATGTTGTTATTTTGTTCTTGTGTGCTTTTTATCGAGAAAACTTCCCTACCTTCCAAAGATATTGGGCAACATATTATCAACCCCTTCATTTCATCAAAATAAATAAATAAATAAGGATAAGCGCCAAAATAAAATTGGACATGCACACATAGGGATCACCTTGCCATGTTAGGTTAAGAAACCCTATTAATCCACCATGTCGCAATAGTTAATTAAGCTTAATTTATCTATCAAAAAATTATATTCTATACATTCAATTTTTAAGATAATAAATACGATGTGTCGAGTTAAACTATTATAACAAAGATACTTCTAATTTTTGGACCGTAGCAATTAATAATAGTTGAATCTCAGTACTATATATTTTGAAGAGCTAGTTTGTATAAAATTCCTTTTTCCTATTATTAAATTAATTTAAATTATATATAATAACAAAAATATGGATAAATTTAGATCAGTAAAACTAAAATTTGATAGACTAAAAGCTTAATATGAGGAAAATTTAAATAATTTCAACTAATACATTTATCCCTTTCCCTTCATGCTATAAGGATAATTAACTAAAGATTTGATACAAAATCATCCGTTAAATTTGAAAGGATATTTCATTTTGACATTCAAATTAGATTTTATTTTAGTCAAACACTCAACTTTTAATAGAATGTTTCATTTAGACATTGACGATTCAAAATTTTCAATTTATTTGTTAGATAATTAAGTTAATCATATAAAATCTGTTATTTATTTTAGTTATACGCAAAAAAATAGTGTTGACTCTTTGGAGTTCACAATGCGGCGTCGTTTTTTCAGCAGAAGGCTTTCTACTGAATTCTTGTTCATAGCTCTGAGCTAAGCTGAATGAAGAAGAAGAAGTAATGTTGTAGACAAGTAAACTCTCAAATACCAACTTCCCAAATTTAAATTCAGCTCATTTTGCAGTGGAAATCAAGAAAGTCTTGTTTTTTTCCCTGTGCAGATCCAGAGGTTTGGTTAATTTTTGTGCTTATTGTTTTGTTTCTTGATCTTTTACTAGTTTTTGTTTTTCCCCATTTTCTAGAAAAACAAGTGAACTTTTTTACTTTGTGAAGTTCATTTTACTGTAAAAGAGAGAAGTATAGAAGAAAGAGAGGCAGAAAGTTGATTTTTTTAATTTTCAAGAATGTTGAAATCTGCATATATTAGCTGAGGTGTGTGAAAATTTTAGTGATGGGGTTAGGTGAAAAACTGCAAATTCAAGTTTTTCAGTTCTTGGGTGTTGAAAACTAAGGATTTGATTCACTGTGGTGGAACACTAGTTTTTGTTTTTTGGGTTTCCACCTGGTGTATGGTACCCATATTGGGGCTTTGATTAAATCTTGATTCACGTTGAGAAGTCTCACATTAGGGGGTAAAGTGTTTCCTAATAAAGGGGACTTTATACCGAGGGCTTGAATACGAGACCTTGGGTGGAGCATTAGTTAAGTACAAGCTGAAGTATAGTGGGAATGAAGAAGTATTTATTAATTAGAAATGTGGGAAGGAAGAGATGGGCTGGATGTCTGTTTATTATTGGTCTTGCAATGGTTTTGTTGATTCGATATAGTAGTGTAGAAAAATCATACAGCATTGTAGAAAAATCAGACAGCAGTGTGGAAGAATCTCCAAAAAAGCAATCAGTTTATGGGTTTTTCAATGACCATCCGGACATTAATGAAGGTTCAAAAGATGAAAATGCCAAGTTGTCTGATCTGAAACCAGTAGAGCTAGTAACTTTTAAGGAAAAACCACATCTTATTGATGTCGAAGGGCTTAATGATCTATACAGCTTGAATAATTTTTCGACAGAAGAGTCGAAGGCATTGCTAGCATGGGGCAAGATGAGATTGTTGTTGTCTAGATCAGATGGTTTGAATGGAACTGCTCAAGGAGTTAAGGAGGCTGCTATATCATGGAAAGATTTGGTGTCGTTCATTGAGAAAAGTAAAGCTCAAGATGAGAAGGAAAATGAGGATTGTCCTTATTCTGTGACTGCATTCAATACCGCGACGTTGAAGGACGGGAGCAGTCTTAGGATTCCTTGTGGCTTAGTTGAGGATTCATCTATTACTGTGATAGGCATACCTGATGCAAAGCAAGAAGGTTTTCAAATTGAGCTGGTAGGTTCGAAACTTCCAGAGGAAACAAATCCTCCTATAGTTTTGAATTATAATGTAATTTTACCCGGGGAGAACTTGACAAAGGATCCCCTTATTACTCAAAATACATGGACTAATGAATCCGAGTGGGGTAAGGTGGAAAAGTGCCCTGATCATGTCTCTACCGACGTGATAAAAGGTAAATCATACAAAAAACTTACTTAGAGCATCTTTTCATCTTCTAATTTGTGTTCATTCAGGGAAAACGGTTATATGTAATCTTGTATATCTTTGTTAGAGATAGTTTTCTACCTTAGATGTCATCTTACTTGCTAGTTGCTACAAGGGTGCTTTTTAGAGAAGGATTCATTCTATTTGGGTGGGTTTTTGTAAGCTGCATTGATTGGATTCTGCAACCCTTTTCTAAAAATCTATGTTGCTCAGACTCTTCAAAAATGTCAACGGGTGCGCGTCGGATTCATCAAAAGTAGTGTATTTTGGAGAATCCGACACGGGTGCGGCATCGGAAGTGAAGAGTCCACGCAACTTAGCTGAAAATTATCTGATGTTGCAAGCTTTCAAACAGATAGTAATAGAACTTTATGTAATGATTTGTGACCAGCTTCAGGTCAAAGCAAGAGAGGTATAGATGTGTTGCTCTTATATCATCACAAAGTAGTGGGTTCGACCGTGTGACATGATGAAGAAAGTTGTCATTTAGTGAATTAAGTTGCAAATTTTAAGTCTTTGATAAGCTTGTTATTATGAACTCAACCATTCAATGAGTCACCAACTCAGCATTTGCTTGAAAAAGAATTGTTCCTATCATGCTCTTTGATAAGTCATATCACCATTTGCATATTGAAGAAAGCCATATGGACTTGTAGTTCGATTTTCCAGTAAACGAATTGCCAATTTTTTTAAATTTTATTTGATGATACCAAGCTTATTGGATAGCATGTACTTTGGCCTAGGTTATCATGACGTATGGCGCTGTATTCTGTCAAATCTCTAAGTTCTGTGTTCTTACCAGTGCAAATAGGACGGTAGCCCAATAGACAAGTATTTCAATTGTTGACTGTAGTGAAGTGGTGATCCTTCTTCAGTGACCAATATTTTTAATAAACATCCAGGAGTAGTTAGCACCTTATTGTTTCCATTGCTCCTAATAATCTTGTAATCTGACATATTCTTCCTACATATATCAGTTGATGGATTAGTCAAATGCAATGCCAAAATTTTCCGAAATAATGTAGAAGAAACTGCAAATATGACCAATACCAGCAATCCAAAGTCTTCAGATGTATCAAATTCTAGTGCCTACGGTACTGCCAACTACCCTTTTCTTGAAGGTAATCCATTTACTGCAACACTATGGGCTGGTATAGAGGGGTTCCATATGACAGTCAACGGAAGACACGAGACGTCTTTTGCATATAGAGAGGTTAGTGTTTGTAGTTTCAGCTAGATCACTGAGCTTTATTATCTTTTGGAACTGTTGCATGAATTTTATGGATAACTCCTTTTATAGTGCTGTGTTTCTATAAATGCAGAAACTCGAACCTTGGTTGGTTAGTGGAGTCAATGTGATAGGTGGTGTGGACACCATATCGATCTTAGCGAAAGGATTACCTGTGTCCAATGATTTTAACTTGGGTGATGATGTTGAGCACCTCAAAGCTCCACTAACTCCTAAAAAGAGACTTGTCATGTTAATTGGGGTTTTCTCTACTGGAAACAATTTTGAGAGACGTATGGCACTAAGGAAATCATGGATGCAATATGAAGCTGTGCGGTCAGGAGAAGTAGCTGTCCGGTTTTTTATTGGTCTTGTAAGTGAGACCTTCAACTGGAAGTAGTTATTGTAGACACTAATTTTCATATTCTCCATCTATTTCAAATACACCCTCCATTTCAATGTGTTTGTCTTGCTTTCCTTTATAGTTTGTTTAAAAAAGAAAGCCTCTTTCCTTTTTTGGCAACTCTTTAATTCTAACTTTCCACCTGACATGTTTCAAATCACAAGATTAATGGGTATTTTGGTACATTCTACATATCTTTAGCTTAAGACCACAACATTCAAAAGTCTTATTTACTTTCTTAAACTTCATGCGAACTAGACAAACAAATTGACATAGAGGGAGTACTAAATATAGTAAGGTTGCTGCAGTCCTCCTTTGATTGTTTTTTGGTGGCTTGGTAGCTGGTCCTTCTGATGGTCTAGATTTTTGGCATTCTGAATCAACTCACTGCATCTATTGTGATTGTGCTTTGTCTCTTCTATGTTGGCCTTTACTATTGAGACTTTCCCAGCTCGTTTTCATGTTACACTTCTATAGGAGTACTTTCATTTGTGATTGCTCGGCTTATGTTCTTGCAATTTATCGCGAGTTTACCTCTTAAGATATTGTTGTGTAGCCTTTGTTGCTCAATTATTTTGCCTAATATTTTTTCATTGCTGATATTAGGTATTGATCATTACGTATATGTCCTTTTGAAAACAAATGCAGGACAAAAATAGGCAGGTCAATTTTGAGCTATGGAAGGAAGCACAAGCCTATGGAGATATCCAATTATTGCCTTTTGTTGATTACTACAGCCTGCTCACTTTGAAGACCATAGCAATTTGCATTATGGGTGTAAGGACTTTCAAGTATTTATGAGTAAAAATTGAATTTAATTATCAGTTACAAATTTGAGTCTTCTTTTATTTATAATTGCTGAAGGATAGTATTACATAAACTCCAAGAAAAGCTTTATAAAGCCTTCCTACACAATTGACAAGTGAGGCTAGCTCTAGTAGTTGAGTATCTCCACCATCAACTGGTTGGTTGAAGGTTCGAGTCACACTGGAGAATAATTGGGAAACTATTGATCCTCCCGATGGGGTGAAGTGGAAAAAAGTCTTACTACAGAATTCATTTTGGAGAATATGTAGTGTATGAGGGTTTTTTGATTGCGTACATAGGTTTCTGGTATGTGTATAACTGTATAAAGTATCCCTTTCTATATCCTTAAAACTAAAATGCGATTTACGGATTAGTACAACTCCTTAAATATGAAAATGTATCAGGATTATTTCCACAATCCCAGTGCTATGCACACTCTCTATATATTGAATTTCTCATCTGACAAGAAGAAACATATCCAATAGGAATGTTATTTGACTGCATTTACATGATCATTTGAAAGTTCGATAGAATATTTGGCTAAAGCGTTGGTGTGCTTAAATTGCAGGTTAACATCCTACCTGCCAAATATGTTATGAAGACTGATGATGATGCTTTTGTAAGGATTGATGAAGTTCTATCTAGCCTCAAGGGAAAGGATCCTAATGGTCTATTATATGGTGGAATATCTTTTGAGTCAGCACCCCACAGGGATAAAGAGAACAAGTGGTATATCAGTCCTGAGGTATTTATTTCTAAACTCGTGTCTTCGTATAGCAATATTACAACCTCCTTAATCACAGTTCCCTTCTGCAGGAATATCCGCCTGCTTCCTATCCCCCATGGGCACATGGACCAGGTTATATTATTTCTCGAGATATAGCTAAGTTCATTGTTCAGGGCCATCAAGAAATGGAACTGATGGTAACACTCAGTCTTATTGTCCTGATTTTTTATTTATTTTTTTCATTTTTTGTTTTGACCTGATCTCTCTGCCTTCTTATCAACCATGAGTTACTAGTACAAAGATAGTTACAAGGAGAAAGATGAATAATTGCACCATTTATTTTGATCTTATATGACTTGAAAGAAAATGGTACCAAACCAATAATCAACTTACTGAAAGAATCTTATCCGTGCCATTAATAGAAAGAAGCAAAAATACAATTAAGTACGCTTCAGTCTCAAATAAGTTGGGGTCGGCTTTATGAATCTGACCTTTTCATTTAAGCTCATTTCATATCATCATCATCAGAGTAAATTGGAAGAAGCAGTTCCTCCTCTAATTGTGTTAGATGTTATGGAAGCAGAACAACTAGGAATTATCTAGTATAGAAAAATTGCGGATGTTAACATTATTCTCTGTTATATACAATCGTCTTATCGTTTGAACCAAAAAAAAAAAAGAAAGAGAAGAAACACATGAGACGAATTTCCCAAGTCGAAATTCTACTCAATATGCTAAATTTGTTTTGTTTGTGATGTTCTGCCAGCTTTTTAAACTTGAGGATGTTGCTGTGGGCATTTGGGTTGAGGAATTCAAGAGGAAGGGTCACAAAGTACAGTATGTTAACGATGAAAGATTTTACAATGCCGGTTGTGAATCAGGCTATATTCTTGCACATTATCAGAATCCGAGGATGGTACTATGTCTGTGGGAGAAACTGCAGAAAGAGCACGAACCAAACTGCTGCGAGTGATCGTGCTGTAATCCTGAACGTTGCAAATCAACTAGTGAGTACAATCTTTTTGCAGATATAGTGGTTTCAAATATGATTCTGTTTGTTTATTCTTTGACAAAGGTCATCAAACTGCAATTGTATATTGTTTCATTGGCACTATATTGTTGTTATTCCTATGTGCCATCTTATATTGTGTTGGTAAGCTGATGTTGAATGTTGAAAAAGGAGTAATAGATACTTAATATATTTATACATATACTATGACAATGACAACATACCCAGTATGGGATGAGTGATGTGTACGCTGATCTTACCCCAGTCTTTGTGGGGATATAGTGGTTGTTTCCTATTGACACTAAGCTCAGGAAAAGCATTTTTCAAAATTGGTTTGAAATGAAAATATCGAAAAAAGGAAAGTATTGACATAAAAAATAGTAAAGATAATTAAAGTAAATGAAACAACAGTAATAATAAAATTGAAGAATAAGATAATGATGAAATAATAATAATACTAATAACGAGAAGAGGGAGCAAATAAGAGGTGCTCGTGGTGCATCAGTTGGTTTGGTTTGGTTTATCGGTTTTTGAATATGTTAAACCAATAAGAGATTTTTTAATTAGTTTTCGGTTTATCGGTTTTGGTCCTTAATGGTTTGGTTTTCAGTTTATCGGTTTTGGTCCTTAATGGTTCGGTTTTCGATTTAACCAATAAGATAATACTTATAAAATAAATATATGACTTCTCTAATAAATTTGACGCAACAACTGTGACAACACAATAATGTAATGAAAAAATTATACAAAGAGAAATTAAAAGGAATAGGGTTCTTACTTTAGATTTTGACGTAAGTGTGAATTGAAGGCTAAAGAGGATAAAAACAGTAACTAGTAAGGTATTGAGATTAATATATACTAATATTTATGTACAAGTAAATGTAGTAAATTATTAGTCTTAATGGGTTATCGATTTACCCAATAACCCAATATTAAAAACCAATACCGAATCGATAACCCGATATTTATTTTTTATAAAACCATTAAAAAATCGTTAATCCAATAACCAAATAACACTTTTTCAATTTGGTTTATCAGTTGGTTCGGTTTTTACACACCCCTAGGTGCTCAGAACTGGAACCTCCTCTCCCATAAACAAGAGAGACAATAATGTTTGACTATTTACTAACATTTTACTCTAATCCTCGACCTCCATATTCTCCTATTAGGAATAATGTATTCGATAAGCTAAAAATATGTCATGTCTTGTTTCCAATTCTTCCTCGGTCTACCCTCTACCTCTTCAAGAATTACTATACAATATTAGTGTACAAAAGTTGAAGTTCAATACTATATTAATATCCCATTACCTGTTGACTATTGGCATCTCTTTTGAGTGCTTGGTCCTACTAGAGTTAGTGTTTTGACTTTTTATGTGTTTGTTTTCGACTTTCGTGTCACTTTACCTACCAATCTTAATGTGGTTGGGCTCGTTTTGGACTTAGTCGCGTTCTTATTGAGCTGAAGATTTATTTAAAATAATAAGATTTTTTTGTATATTTCATTCTTTCTCGAGTCTTCTATCTTATTTTTAAAATTATATCAGGAATTTTATCAAGAGGATTAAAAATAGGTTACGTGTCACTCAAATCAATATATACAAAAAGGTTATTGTAATCCTATATGCATAATATAATTTTCTACAATTGAATGGACCTTGATAGTTGCTTGTTCTAGTTTTCCTTTACCCCTTTCTTTGTCTTTGTACAATTTCAATTTAATGAAAACTAATGTATTATACCTTTAAAATTAATGGAAAATACAGAGTATTATTTATTAAAGTCAACGTAGACTTAACTTGAAAATAATAAATATTTCTCCATTTGTTATACTTTTAACGAATAAATATATTATTAACGTGATTAGTGACGTTTTAATTTGGATTGAAGAATTTTGACATATATATTTGTAGAACTATCTAGAAAGAAAAGGATACTTCTTGACCCTAGCCATTGTTTCAACAAATGAAAATGGCTTGTTTGTTTGGATAGACACGTGATGAGAGTTTTGATCGAGTTGTAAAAATAATCTCTTGTAAAAATATAGAGTAAGATTGTGTATAATAAATCCTTTTTCATTCAATTCTTTTCTGAACGTCATGCCTAATGAGAGTTTGATATATCGAGTTATCTGAATAGACAACATTTTGAAATAACCTACCTTTAGTTATGATTAAAAACAATACTTAATTTAGGTTATCGTATGAAGTGGAAAGCATGCCGTGTGACTTATTTGTGTTAAATATGGACGTATCGGATATTTTATCTATTTTTGTTAAACTCGTTTTCGTAATGTCTATATTTGAATCAATTTGTCCGTTTGTCATTTCTATGCGTGAACGATTATTAATTTGAAAATTAATAGTGTTAGTGTAATCTTAATGTGTGATAACATGGTTTGACCTTCAAGAATAAGTAGAAAATACGTCAATAAATGAAATTTCAAAATAACGTGGATCATTGATGTTACGGGTGCAAGGTATATATATATTTATTTTGATACAAATACTTTTGCGTAACATGTGATACCATCATCATATATAGCAAAATTTTATTTACACCTTATATTTATATCAAATCAAATAATAATTATTAATTAAATAATTTAATGAAATGATAATAAATTTATATGGACTAATCATGATTAAGTGATAAAATTCTACTAGCAAATAGAGTACATTTTTAATAACATTACCATACTTGTAATTATTCTCTCCTAAAGGATTAGGTATCTAAATAAAGAATAAAATAAATTAAAAAGCCTTTTAGAGGCTCCAATATGAACATATTAATTAGTAAGAATAACCCCATTATCTTAATTAAGATTATTTCTTCCTTTCTGCCTCTTAATTAGATTTTAAAAAAATAAGGTCTCTCATAATAGCATTTAATTTAATTTTCAAAAATTTCCTCCTTAAAAAGTCAATCAAGCTTTCGTGTATAATAGGAAACCAAGTAAATGGCATATTATCAAGTGGTTGATTAGTTATTCTTCTCGTATCAAAATTATTATCGTCCTTATTAAAAATATCTATCATTTTAAGAATTTAATTCAAGTCTATCGATATATTAGGATATCTCATTACATACATAGACATTATAAACTTGTCATCAATTCTAACACAAATAAATATTATTTTTATATTTATAGACATACATAAAAATAAAATAATTTTAATTTTACGGTATGTGAGTACTTGACATCGAACGATTAAATAAAATATCATGTAATCCGAGTAAGAATCGATTTTGCTTCTTTTTTTTTGCGTCACGCGTTACTACTACACGTTCTATTTAATCCGAGTAAATACTAAGCCGCCTATTATTATTAATCTATAAATTTCTTCAAGAACCCAACTTGCTTTTACTTCTATTTCAACGATTAATTAAACCCTAATCTGTTTTTAACAAACAAATTTTATCCATAAAATCTCTCATAATCCAAACAAAAACTTCAAATTATTGTTCAATTTTGGATTAACTATTTTGATGATTGTGAAGAATTCAACGACGGCGGCGAAGATGGTGGTAGTAGATGCGGAGATTTTGTGTCAGCCGAATATTTCCGTTGAGTACATCGGAGTTTCAACGGCGGCGCCGGTGGTCGGCGATGAGGATTTGGACTTCTTTGATGTTTCAGCTACTGCTACGTCTTCTTCTCGTCCAAAATCTCGTGAATTTCGCTCGTCTGATTTGGTTTCTGTTGATATTTCTCGTTCTGACTCGGTAAAGTTTCAGATTTGATTTCCCGTTTTGTCTTCTGCTATTTTTGGTAACTGTTTGAGTTAGTTTGTGTGCAATTTTGCGTATTTTGAAGAATTTACCTAATTTTATGCTTTGTGATTCGAATCGGGGATCTCAAAGTTGTTAGTCCAGCTGACCCTAGGTTATCTCCTTTTCAGGGAAATTATTTTCTATAGCACCTTGTTTTTCTTTGTGTATTTGTTTGCTGTGAAGAATTGGATCTGCCTAGAGGTTCTGATATAGTATTATTTAGGGTTTGGAGTTAAAAAAAAGTTCATCTGATAGATATTATTGCTATGAATTAGGGTGTAAAAAACTCAATTTCTGCTATTTTGAGTTGTTTTCAATTCTGGAATTGAGTGAGGGGCTTTCGAAAACAGCCTCAACGTAGTGGTAAGGTCTGCATACACTCTATCCTTCCTCCTCAGACTCTACTTGTGGGATTATATTGCGTATGTTGTTGTTCGATTCTGGGATTGTACGTATGTAAACTTTGCACAAGTATAACAAGTCCAACTTGAAAGAATGAGGGTTCTGCTAAGTTTAGGGTCTGTGTCAAAATTGTGTAACTAAGATGAATTCTCTGAGGACTTGTATATCTGACTGAACTTAAGCGGGGGTTGAGTTGTAGTTGAATGATTTTTCTATTTGCTAAAGAAATGGATTTGAACTTTCAAACTCTTATTTGGGTTTCTTCATATGATTAACTGATGGTTTTTGTTGTTGGTTGTTGATTTATTGAGTTATTTGACTATACTATCTCATTTCTTATGTGGACTGTGGTTATGATTGAATAAGTTTTGTTTTCTTAATGCTTGTTGATAGTTATGTGGTTGAAATGCAATGTACCCATGGTTTGACTTGACCTTATGTATTTTGCAATTAGCAGGGTGTGAGATGCTCAACTAATACTCAGACAACTATAATTGATTCAGCTAGAAGCAGTAATGTTATCCCAGCTATTCGTTCGGGTAGCTATACTGATATTGGACCTCGTAGATCCAATGAAGATGAGCATATTCGTGTTGATGATCTTTCAGCTCAGTTAGGTTCTCTATACAATTGGCCTCTTCCAGGTGCCTTCTATGCTGTGTTTGATGGTCATGGAGGTTCTGATGCAGCTGCTTATGTCAGGACTAATGCAATGAGATTTTTCTTTGAAGATACTAATTTGCCGCAAACATCTGCTGTTGATCAAGCATTCTTGGAAGAATTGGAGAGTTCTCATTTTAGAGCATTTTTAATTGCTGACCAGGCCTTAGCTGATGAATGTAGTGTTGATGCCTATTGTGGGACAACAGCAATAACTGCGCTGGTTTTAGGAAGACATCTAGTTGTTGCTAATGCCGGTGACTGTCGTGCTGTTCTTTGTAGGAAAGGTGTTGCAGTTCAGTTGACTCAAGATCACAGGCCAACTTGTTTGGCGG